TTTTTACAAAATCAACTAACAATGTTGTAAAGATGCAGGAAATGTCAAACAAAAACTTTTACGTATCTTATTAGTTTAATAATGAGACTGTTAACATGCCTAAGAATTGAATCTGAGGAAATGTGAAAAATATGCTGAAAAGTGAAAAAACAGCATAACTTCTACAATAATGGCCCGATCATGCTGATTTTCGAACTTGACCCGCGTTTTATGAATATTCACCAGCTCTGTAAATATAATGCCAAAAAGTAAAACTGCCCTCCACTTATCGTGTTTACAAGGAAAGTGCACGGCATCGGCATCGGCATCGGCATCGGCGACGACAGACGCAGGCGATGGCAATATGTACAGACACATCTGTGTCTGTACATAATAATAAACTGTATTAGGTGGAAATCACCTGGTCTACTCCCAAGTATACATGAAGTTTAAATCCAAAGCGATGTATCCAAGAGTTATTTTGACAGCATCATCAGTAACACCACAAGAAGGCTGTTATATTGAGTGTGGACTAATCCACCGTAATGGACCAGGTTCGTTTTATCCTTTTATCGATACAGCTTAGAACGAGAACTGGTCACTTAACGAAAATCCATGTCGTGGTACATCGTACAATAAAGTACAGCCTCGTCAATGATAAAAACAACATTAGATCATTCAATAAAAGTATACATTTTAATGTTTGCACAAAAGTGGACAATATGTATACAAATGTTGTCTAATGCACTGAGATTATTAATAAATCTGTGCAGAGAAAAACCGCCATCAGCTCTTTAGTTCAGAAAATGCAGATTGGAATATCTACATAAACACTGATATAATGGGAATCCTTTTATCCCCTTAATTGCTAATGGTCTTTACATTTAATTTATGGGAACAGAAATGCAAACTTCTAAAACTGATTTTATATATGTCAGTTAACACAAGATGGCAGCATTGGAGTGAGATCACAACAAAAAATATAAACAAAGCTTGCAATCAATAAACAAGATAATACTTCTATCTGTTGTGCTGGCATTTCACAAAGCAAAATCAACCCATAAATGCTTACAGAAGGTAATGTAAATTATGTTGTACTCAAATGCATTGTTTAAAATATATTAAAACAATATTTACACTTTCAAATAAAATCGTTGTTTATATTAGTAATAAATACACTGCACAAACCTTCAATTATAACCGTAACAGAAATTCTTTCTTATCCGTCTAAACACTTGTTCCCATATTTGTCTGACTAACATTCTAATGTAAAAAGGCCTGTATAAACAGCTTTTGGCAGCTTGTATTTCATACTCATTTTAGATTGGTATGAACTATATAAGGTGACCTACTGAATTGTGACAAGGTCTGACCTACTAATTCTAACAAAGTACTTTGCCCAAACTAACACTATCACAAATGCTGTTATGTTCAAAGCAAAAGCAAAATGACAAACATCAGTTCTGTTTAAGATGCTGAACGATCTAATATACAGCAATAATAAACATGATCAACTTAGAGATTTTACCATACATTGGTCTATTTAGAAATTGAGCAGATGAAAGACTAAATAAATACACAACGTTGAAACATCATGTGACACACACACACCCACATATACAGTATGTATGTCAACTCACAAGGGTCTGATAAAATTTCAAAGAAATCCACTCAATTTTAACTATTCCGCTAGAAAGATCACAACTCAAACACATCCATATTCATACCACACGGAACTCTTCCCCTCGGGAGAAGTGGTATCTTTCCCGGGTGTCTGTCCAGTGTTGGCACTGGTTGTGGGAGTCCTAGGGGAAGTAGTTTCACTACCGTTTTTTCTGTCATTATCGGTGTTAGATTTGAACCCAGTCATACGAACATAGGGCGTAAGATAGCAATCACTTTTGCAACCGTGCGGGTGCATGTGTGAGTGTTGGGTACGGATCCCAAGCATACTGGCAGCACTTTGAGTGCCAGGTGTTGACTCAGGCCTTGGGGATGACATATCACTTGGTTGTTTCACTGGTGGAGAAGGAGCTCTTCTCTTCACAGAAGAGTTAGCAGGGCGGGGTGGAGACGGTGCCCGTTGTTTTTCCCTACGCGGAGACATTCCATCTCTGAGGCGACGTGGTGGCGCCACTGGTACATTTGATTTACCGCCATCTGGTCCACTTTTCCCAAAGTCAACGTAGCCACGTGAGTCATTACTTTGATCGCTAGAAGTGGAGTAACTCCTCGTGTCAGAACCTCCATTGGGATACCCTCTGCCTCTTGAACCTACATCAGCTTCATATTCGGTAGATTTCTGACTACTTGAAAGAGAAAGGTCATCCTTGTATCCTCTGTTATTTTCATTTAGATTCATCCCATAGGTTTGAGTTGTCAGTCTATCTAATCTTTCCGCAGCCTGTTTCTCTGCACTAACAGTCCGTCCCCTCTGTGGGAAATTAGATGGGGACCCTTGGTCTAGTTTGTTATACTGGGAGACTCTGTCTTTTACAGCAACTGAAGTATTAGGTTCATGGTCTGTTGTATTCTTTTGCCTGTCTGCAAATGACCTGATAATAAATGGTGTACTATAATTCGGATAACTTGGCCCCGTTGGAGTTGATGTCTTATTTTCTCCATATTTATTAGGAGTCATATTTTCTCTTGGGCTATCCTCAGAATCGTTTAAGTTTGGCATTGAAACAAAAGAATTTTTGGAGATATTAAGTGGGACTTTGTGACCACCATGTTGTAAATCTGGCATATGGCTAGAGAATCTCTTCACTGAGGGATCTTCCCTAGGGCTCGGTCGTAATGGAGTTGGTCTGTTTATGACTTTCTCGTGTTCTTGTTGATAGTCATTGTTCATTTTCTTCTTGTCTTTGCCTCTTGTGTCCTCCAAACCCTGAAAATGAATTTAACAAACAATTCAAGCAAGTGTCCCATGAACCAAAAAAGTTGTTGTGTGACATTTGGCTACAATAGCCTTAGTTGCAAAAATAACCTTTAGAGCATTATCATTATAATAAATAATACCTATGCCTCATGAACATAATTTAAACTGAATAAGTTGTAGAAAGTAATTGTAGTTTGAAATATACTGTAAGTCATAGGCTCCTCCTGGAGGAAGATGACAAAGACTTAGATGAAGTTAATTGTTTGCATAGTGTTCTGAATAAATGGATAAAATGAAGGCTGACATTGTTATTAAAACTCGCTCCGAATGATTTTATGGAGTATTTAGATCAATAATTTGCTTCCTTCAGCCCTTTTCAGGGGCAAGAAGTCTGATTCTAACTAAATAAACTGAACCAGTTGAGCATCTCTGCCTTACCAAAGTTGGTGGGGTATTTCTGTTAGCTTCTTCCAAGAACTGCTCCAGGGTGATCTCTTCATTTCCTGGAGATTCATCTCTCTCGTGGATTCTAGGAGAGTTGTGTGGGCTGTCTGATGCTTCCCATGCAGGCTGCCTCTGTCCATACTTAGTCTGTAGACTGCTGTCCAAGGGCGGCTCTCCAGAGTGCAGGCCCATGTCACGTGTTGGAATGTTATCTTCTGAGCTAATACTGCCTTGTCTCCCTAATATGATAAAATCTCAATTAGTTAAACAATGTTTTTTTTTACATGGAATGTTATCTTCTGGGCTAATACTGCCTTGTCTCCCTAATACAATACAATACAATTCCAATTAGTTAAACTTTTTTACATGGGATAATATCCAGTTATATAAGACAAGTAGTTTGAAAGAATCAAATTAGGAAAGGACAAGATAGTGATTTCTAACCCCCCCCCCCCCCCACTCCCCCAAAAAGTTTTTTCAATCTAAATTTCAACATGGCGTAAAGATAATTTCTCTCTAATGACAGATTTTATATTAAGTCTTCAAATACATGTAGTCTTTACTAACTACAACAGTGCTTTCAAACCACCAGTTTTTACCTCTGCCTGGGGTTCCAGGGTGGCCATGTGAAGACAAATTGTTTTGGTTGCTTGGCAATTCATAGGCTCCTGAAGAAAAAGTGAAATATTACATGAAAGAAACAGAGTACCGTGCAAATATTTTCCAACTGAATATACAGTCCTCCTTTTGCTTTTGAATTAGAATAAAAAACTTTTTCTTTTGAAAACTGTATTGTAAAGGCAAAACATTACTACTTTGTAAATAATTATTTTAGGTCTACAACTACCTTACGGTCTGATCCCTGCAAAATATATTTGTGTAACATTTGTTAATAGAGTCAGACTGTACAAATCAATGTCAACCTTAGCTTGGAAGAACATGTTAGCTCATATCAAAAACTTAACCTCAAGCTAAAATAATGTCATAAAATAAGTCTAGGATGCATTGGATACTACTGACATATGTAGTGTTAAAACTAAAAAAGCTGTCCGCAACCCGCTGTTTACTTTTAATTTTAATAAAAACAACAATAAAAAAAAGATATTGTAATATCAGTTACTACGACAGAGTTCACAACCAGACTAAGTTTGACTACAAAAAGTCATAACTGATGTTATTTGGAAGTCAGATAACAATAGGAGTTCCTCTCCATTTAGCCATCTGCTCATATGGCCAAGTCATAAGTCTAAGACTGTTCCAGTCAAAGTTAATCTGGTTGTGAACACGCTCTACTCATGCAACCACCTGGAAAAGAATGCACACGTTGGTAAAATGAACCCTGCGCATGCAACAAATTTATTATTTTAATCAGCATACTAATTCAATCACTAGATAATGATATTCATGCAACAAACACAACACCTCACAACCATGCTGAAAATGACTTATATTAGATGGCACCAGCTTGCTATGTAAATCCTGCAAAAATGTCAATCTATATATATCCCACTGAGGATGTCAAAGCAAATAAATTAAAAGCATTATTGGGGTTGGGGCATGTTCAAGCTTGTCAATCCAGGCAAGGGTAAAAAATGGTGATGCTTTGATATAATGTAGTCCTGCCTGTGTATGGATAGAAGATTCCTGCCAGTGTCATTCTTTTCCTGTGTCTGGGGCCTGCAATAAACAGAGCAATGAAGCCATCTACGGAGGTCCACTGATTGTGTGACAAAGCAGTAAAGCTCAAAGATGTGGCACTATTATTGACAGTTTTTTCCTTTTTCTTTTCTCTTTTTTTTTTGGCAAAAATAATGTATCTATATTTTTACAGTTTTGATATTAATCTATGTTAATAAACTTCAGGTAAACAATTTGTTATGGTGGAAATCCAACATTCTTGTTGGGTGAAAATGGCCTATCAGTGCAAAATCATTTTTTGGTAAGTATGTGTTTGTGTGCGTGCGAAAAAAGATTTTTTTTTCAAGTTTTCTTTACAGTTTTAGTATTAATCTAGGTGAATGAGTTTTACTCAAAGAATTTGTCAAGGTTTAAAGAAATTCCATCTTCTACTCCAGATAAAAACTGTCATTTAATGGTAAACCACACCTTAATATGAGAGAAGATCAGAAATTAAACAGAACAGCAACACACAACAATAGCTGATAAAAGTTAACACATTAAACACCACATCCTACAATCTTTCCATAAACTCTAACTGACATTATACTTGATCAGAAAGATTTTTTTTTAGTACTGAGGGGATTCTTCTACAGCATATACCAATTACCTTTCTTTTTATTCCTAGGTTGTGTTAAGAAATGCCAAGAAGCATTACTAGAAGACAGTGATTCGACATCGGCCTGGACGCCATCGCTCCGGGCACTGCGAGGAGTGTCGATGTTCAACAAATCCTCGGAGGATTTAGAGCCTAAAACAGTATTCAACCAGGGCTGCCCTGTGTTAGTAAGCTAACATAAAAAAGCTCCCAAATATTTGAATCTAAAAAAAATGGACTAAAAAGCCCCTGCTAACAATTTACTTCAATTGAAAAGAATTATTACAGAAGCAAACACCATGATTAGTGCATTACAACAGCAAACAAGAACAGCAAATGAAAACCATAAAAGGAGAAGTGTTCATGGTATTGATTACTGAGAATTTACAACAACAAAGGCTTACATTGAAAACGGTTGTTATATCATTGTAAACATAAGGTTAACAAGTATTAAACTATAGGCATCTACCTCTCATAGTGAATTGACCATTGTAATTTTCATAATTAAGAGCTGTAGTGCTTTTTGCAAGGTTGCGTGAATGCTTGGACAATTTTGCACTCTCCCAGTCACGCATCTTCTGTTGCATGTAGCCATCTTCTGCTAAGAACAAAAGACGGAAAAATTGTATAATAAAAACACATCAAAATATTTTTTTTATCTTCTGAAGGCACTGAAACATCTGGAAGCGGGCTGAAAGAGCAAAATTAATTGATCATTTATGAAAAATTCTACACACACAGCACATTAGGGAAAGAAATGTTATACTGACAGTTTAAAATTCAAAATTGCTTGAGCATCTTTTTATTTACCTGCTGTTTTCCTGATCCCTACAAGAGTTACTTCAGCGCCATCTATGGAGTCACCAAATGAACCCAGGGAGGAGTTGTCACCTGGGCTGTCACCATGGTGACCACCATGTTCTATGATTGCTGATCTTGGACGTTCACCTCTCTCATTTTCTCTCTTCCTCTGGAAAGATACATTTATACAAATTTGATACAAAAACTTAGGCATATGCTTTCTTTATGGATCAAAATGACTGTGACATCTCATTAAATTTTAATTAACGAATTACTTTTGTAATTAAATGTAATGAAATTAGTGTAAATGATATATGAAACCATATCTGTATGTGAACAATTTGATATATACATCACAGAAACCACATACCCTTGAGATGAAACCTCTTGCCTTTCTTACAAGTTGAGCTCCAAACCCTCTATTCCTGCAATTTACAATTTAAACATTTAAGGTACCATATTAAGTGATCAGAAATACAAGCGCAAAAAATGATGGCATGCTTGAAAAGCAACTCATGTTAATGGAACACATAACATTCATCCTAAACTCATGTCAAGGAAATCTGTAACATAAGAAATCATGCATTAAAATAATATAGCAGTTTCAAAAACATAAAAGAACAATGTTTTAAAGTAACGTAAGCTTGACATTTGCAGTCTTAACACTTTAAGAAAGGACAATTTAGCAACAAGCTCCAGTCATCTGCAAAAGTACAAAACTGTCTGTAACACTGAAACGAGCACAAAAAACAACGAGTCAACATGCATTAAAAACATGACACTGAACACCTGCTCATCACCTTAAGTTTCAGAGTAACAGAAACTTCATCATAACTCATCTCCAGCTCACTTTCAGTAGCCATGCTCTGATTGCCATCTTACTTTGACAAAACATGTTCTATTTGATTTCAAGTTTGACTTGGAATCAAGGTTTGGTTACTCAGGGATGAGACTTTTTGGCGCCCAAGTCGGAAATCCCCCAATGGTCAGAAAAATCCCATCCCTGGTCACTACACCAAACACTGACCACTCCATGGGAGTGCCCAGAGGTCAATAATCAACAAATTAACACTCTGAAACTCATGATGAACTTAACATGTTATAAACATATTTAAAGGTGAATGACTTGTAACAAATCTTTTGAGAAACAAATTAAAAACCATGCTTAAAAAATAATCAGCAGCAGAAATCTCCCAAAACACTTCAAGGGCAGATTGAGTGATCAGGAAAGCTAATCATCAACGGCATGCTGTACAATCTCACAGCTTCTCTGAAGGCAACTGGGAATCTGTTAGAAATGTAACACTGTTATATTTGGAAGGTAATAACCATAAGAGGCTGGCTCTCCTGGCTATCTGGCTCATGCTGGAACTTCGCCTAAGAAAGAAGAACAGATAAAATAGAGGTGGGTAACACTGTTATCTGGTCTCACTCTAGCATAATTACGCAATTTTGGAAAATGCTGAAGATGATAGGCTGAAAATTATATCATTTTCTCTGCAGAATCTTTCAGTTTTAATTCGTGAAATAATCTGGCTCAAACAGAAGTATAAAATAGTGGTAGATTTGCTTTAGCTTTTTAAGTACAGTACTTATCTTCAAGACTTTTCTTAGAAAAGTTAATATAATTATTAAATCGAAGATAATCATGACTATAAGGCACCATTCCACATCTACAAACAATGCATGCACAATTAAACTAGCCTAGCATACACAAATCATGCTATCATATATGAAATTGACAGCTTATTTCAAAATGAAGTCAAGTTAATCACTGCAATCGCACACCAACTATAAATCAATCTAAATATATCAGGTAATTAACATTAAAAATTACCTGTAAAAGGATAAATAGTTACTAATGCAAACTTACAAATAAAATTATTAAATTTTTAAAGAACAGACAAACTCTACATACTTCACAGGCTCTGTTTTGCTTTTGCTGCAGTTAAAAATATTTCATTTTGCATGATTTCAAAAGATAAATAAAAATTCATATTTAGTCATACATAAATTAATATCACGGTGTTAATTCTTAAATAAACACATCTTGGCTGTATTAAATGTACCAAAAAAAAAAAAAAAAAAAATTAACAGCTTTTCACAGAACAGATACTCTAGACTACTTACTTCTTGGGTGACCTATCATAGTTTTTATACTGTTCCATTATTTTCTCTTCCAGCTTCTCCTTCTGCCTTCGAAGATCAGAAAGCTGCCCCCTATCAAAGCAATAACACCAGCATAGCTCCGGCTACAACACTGAACACACAGTCCATGCTGAGCGACATAATCATGCATTTCCAATATAACACAAATCTAAGCTAAAACCCCACGTACAGATATAACTTTTACTGGCTCCTACATTTATGGTGCAGACACATTTAATATACAACACACCATTGCTGACAAAACTGCATTTAACAGCTATTGAACATGCATTACTGCCTTAACCAACATATACATATAAAAGCTATCAAAAACGATTAAAAAGTCTTAGTGTTGCATCTGGCCTGCTTGATGCATGTTGTTACTTGTATATTTTAAGTTAGTTCCATTCTGCATATTTATACTCATTAAATTATACAGGTTAATTAAAAGCTCAGTTCTGCAAAACCTATATGGCTTTCCTGATAAATATATATTTCTAAAATTTTCAAAATTGCTTTCAAACCCCAACCACCATTTGAGAAATAAACACTTTTGTTTTCCAAACACATAACCCAAATTTTCCCAGATATTTTTAAGATCCATTTTATATCTTACATATATAATCTGGATTCTTCATGGAAGTGCTCTTTGCTTTCCAAAGTCTGCATCAGCAGGTCTTGATTTTGCTGGATTAACTGCTGTACCTGGGATATAAGCTGCTTGTTTTCTTCCTCAAGCTTGTTATTCATATGAGACAGTGCCTAGATTGAAAAGTATAATTTGTATCAAAATGACCATGATAATGATAAATCTCCTCTTTTTATTTATTCATAACAAGATAAAAAAAAAACTTATCAACTTCCACAGTATTTTGTTTTAAAATGTATTTCTTCCTCTTGCTATTGTACAGTTATAGCTATACTCTGTAAAATGAAGTTAAGGAGAGTAGCCCAAAGGACATAAACTTTCAGGGCATGTGCCTTAGGTGAAATTGTAATTTATGACCATGGATTTTACTATCAACAATTATGGTCCAATAATTACCGTCAGGTGTACATTTCCCTTCTGAAACGGTTCACAGTACAATTGTCTGTGATATCTCTTTCTCAAAAATGTGTCCCAATCATGAATTCACATTCCTCAGATCTATTTCTCAGAATCTTACCTCACATCTGTTCGCCATTTTGGACACCTCCACATCCATAGCATTCAGTTGGTCTTTGCAGTCTGCCATATCCCCTTGGAGCTCTGTGTGCTTCAATTTCAGCTGGTTGTATTCCGTCTTCACAGATTTGTACTCTGCCAGCACACTGTGGTATTCTTTCTCCACCTGGGCTTTGGAGCTCGTCAGTCTCTCGTGCTCTTGTTTCAAGTTCCTATGCTCCGACTCCAAGCCACCGAGTGACTTGTGCTCCGACTGCACTTCATCCTTCTCCTTCTGTAGTTTTTGCTTCAGTTCCTCGACCTGTGCTTTTTCAGCGACCAGAGACTCCTGTAATTTACTCAGCTCCTGGAACTCAGCCCTCAAAGCCTTGTGGTTTGACTTCAGAGAGCCATGTTCTGAAATCAGAGCCTCGTACTCCGTTGTGAGCTGCTCGTGAAGCTGCTGAAGTGCCTCATGGTCCATAACTAGTTGCTCGTGAGCATTTTGAAGCTCATCCATGTCTGAGCGTAGCTGCTGATGGTCGGCTTCCAGCGTGGAGTACTGGTTCTGAAGAGTGGTGTTCTGGAGCATCAGGGAGGCACTCTGAGACTGAAGGGTGGTAGCTTCAACCTAAAGATGAACCAATTTCCATATTAACGAATATGATCATTCAATAGCATTCACACAATTTTGCAACTTTTACGAAGTGTTAGCAAACAAAATGCGATAGGAATGACCCAAATTTTGTCAGTGAAATTTCTTATAATTATTCAAAGTGAGTGCTACTGCTGATATTTCGGTCTTTGAAGAAAAGGCACTTAAACCAACCTGTAACTTGGCATTCTCACTCTGCATTCCACTGCTCTGTTGCTGAAGTGATGCAACCTGGGATTGCAGACTGGAATTCTGGGATTCCATCTGATGTAACCTGTCCTGAACACTTTTGGTTTGAACTTTCATGTTCTTGTTCTCTGCTATTAGAGTGGCATTCTGAAAAAAAAAGTGAAAAAATCAGTAAGAAAAACTCATTTAAATTAAACTTCTTAAACCGAATATCTTCACACTGACTATGTTACAGGCTTCCTTAAAATCAATTACTTATATTTAAAATCCTTGTAGTTGTACCTTGTAGAAAAATCTCATTTCCTAATGTTTGTATAATTATTAAACAACATTCAATTTTTTATCTTTTTTTTTGTGCTTGCACTTACTGCTCTCTCAACTTCCACTAGGTGATCTTTCAATTGCAGGATTTCTTTGGTGGCACTCACTTGTGCACGTTCCAAACTGAGAGACCTGAAAGCAAATAATAATTTAATCAAATACTTGATCACAGTGTAATACATTTTAATCATAGTAAAGATCTTTTTTACTCTTCAGAAATTACTTACATTTCAAGTGTAGAATACGGAATTTTAAAATAAAAACTAATCTCACTTGTTTTTAACAGGCATCCTTTCTTCTGGCAAAGCACTTTCTTCTTCCAATCTTTGTTTTAAAGCCTCACTTTCCTTTCTAACGGCTTTCAATTCTTCTTGGAGCTTTCTGTTACGATTCTTAGATTCTTCAAGCCTTAATTGAATTAGAATCAATAATGTGATACTTTTGTATTGTCAAACAGTTATTATTTTTACAAAAAAAAACAGTTTATAACTATGCTGCCTTCGTATAAATATTGAACCATTGATTTTGGAGTCACTGGATTTGATTTGTTTCATTAAAATAATGGAAAGAAAACATCTTGTAAATCTTATTTGAAATGATGAAAAATTCTTTAAACACCTTATCTAGTTTGTTGCTGTATCTGAAAAGTTGCCATGTTTGTTTCATTATTATACTGTAAAAATCATAAGGGAAATAATCATAATTCATTTAAACCAAAGCGTCCTTACCTGCTCTCTAAAGCCTGGATCTTCTCTTCTTTTATTTGAGAACTTTGCTTCAAAGCATCCTCCATCATACTTTCCAGGGCCTTGTACTTGCTGAATGAAATAATATCACTTCCTCATTTAGCAATCACTTGAATAACACACACAGTAGTCATTTGTCACAGACACCATTAATTAACACTGCATGTAATTACTTTGTAATTTACTACATCATCAATCAAATTTGCAATGTTTTTGTTTCTTTCTGCCTATTTAACATGATGAATAGGTTGTGATTGGTAGATGATATTATATACATGTGTGTGAGAAGTAGCAAGAGAGGAAAAAGCAGATTTTTTTCAAAATTGTGCTTTGTAACCATTTTGTTCATGTTGTTATTCCTACCTCTCATCCTGAGCCTGCTCAGCCATGAGTAGCTTCTCCTTGCTGATCCCAATTCTCTCTAGTTCCTGCCTCAGCTTCTCCAGTTCATTGCTCAACTGCTGAGTCTTGATCTTTTCATTGACCAAGTCCTAAAATATCAACAATGTTGTAATTTAATAGTAATATTTCACAAATGACTATATTTTCATTAATTACTCTTAAAATTTGATTCAAAAATTTAAAAAATGGTCTACTGGTTTTCAGTCAGTATTGACTACTTGTAAGATACTAAATATTTAAAAGACTTGTGATAGTAAATTGTGTGGAATAAATAAAATTTTTGAAATCCTTCAGAAATTGATTGCACCATGTGCTGGAAATCAACCTTTAAAAGTTAACAAAAAGCTCAAGTAATACTAACAGTAAACCACTGAAGTAATGATACAAAATAATATGCACATATGCATCCCTGCACAACCAAATTTTTAGATGCAAGACAAATAAACCCACTGATACGCTTTTAAATGGACTGAAATTAAAACCATTTTAGCAACATCTTCTAGGTCCTCTCACCTCTCTCAAAGTGGCCAGAGTCTTCTTGTCCATGGTGGCTTGTTGAAGCATGTCCATGTTTTCTTTCTCAAGCTCCTTCACTCTGCTTGAAGATTCTCGGGACCTGTCCATATTCTTCTTCAAACTTTTATTTTCTCTTTCAACCTCACTCAGTTTACCGCTTAATTCGTCCACGAGGTTTTCTTTCATGCCTAATGTCTGTCGGAGTCGCTTGTTTTCTTTTTCCACATTTGCACTTTCTCGACTCATATCTTTATTTTCCGTTTCGAGATCTCTGTTATCTTTTTCTAGTGCTTCAAGTTTTTTGACTGAAACTCTCAATGTTTCAATGGTCTTGTGCAATTTCTGATTTTCATTTTCTAAGTCTGTTACCTCTTTCCTAAGTTCTTCCATTGTCCCATTGGCTGCTTCTAGAGATTTCTGTAATTTTTGGTTTTCTGTGTCTAAATCCAACAAATCTACCTCTAACTGGTCATACTTTGCTTTGTTAGTCTTAACAGCTTCGAGAAAACCTTTTAACTCTCCAATTTCTTTTTCTTTTTCATCAAGCCGACTTTTCAGTTCTTCTTCCTGAGCAGATGGCTGAGGGGATGGAGGCACTGGTGATTGCAAGAAAACTTCCCTTGGACTTACTGGTCCCTCACTGCTGTCAGAAGGTGTCACGACCTTTGACCTGGAATTTCTCATGAGATCAACAGTACGCTGCAATCGCTTATTTTCAACTGTCAAGTCCAGATTTTCTTTCTCAACTTTCTCCATTTTCTTCACCTCTTTTTTCAAATCCTGTATGACAATTTCCAACCTGCGATTCTCAACACTTAAATCGGAGACATTAAGATCCAGAGTGTCCATCTTGTCCACACTGAGGGTCAGGGTGGCCACAGTTTTGTGCAGGTCTTTGTTTTGCTTGTTCAGGGCTGTGTTGTCCTCCTGAACTTGCTCCGCCCTGTCAACTTTATCTTTCAGCTTGGCAATATTTTGCTGCAGATGTCTATTGTCATATTCCAATCTTGTTATATATGTGGTCATTTCTTTTTTATTCCTGTGCATTCTCTCATTTTCTTTCTCAATGTCTTTCACTCTCACGTCTCCTGATTTTTCACACCGTTCTCGGAGAGTGGATACACTCTGTGTCAGTTGCTCATTCTCTTTTTGCAACTCCTTGATCTGCCTGTCCGATGATACTTTCACATTCTCCACATTCCGTTTTAGTTCTTCCTTTTCTCTTCTTAGTTCAATAGCAGCTTGTTCGAGCTCTTTAATAGTTTTAGACTCTCTTCCATAGGCCTCTTGCAATTTGTCCACCTGAAGCATAAGAGATTCACTTTTTTAAAAAATCATCAGGTATCATATACATTAGGTCACATTGGGCATATGTGAATAGAAGCTTATCAGATAAAATTACACCACTTGCACTAAAATATGTATAGTAAAATGATTTTAGGTTTTGCATGATGTAAATTGAATTGCAAGAATAACTCTAAGGGCTCAATCCAAATGAAACTATTGGTCTTCGAAGATCGATCTAACTCTGCAGGGACTTTCTCTGAATGCCATGAGATAAGCAGATAAACATGCTTACTGGCTTTGAGTAGAATAGAGAAAAGCTGGTAATTATATGAGAACCTACATAACAAAAGCAGGCATGTTAATCTGATTGCATTCAGTGACAATCTACATAGACCAAGAGTTTTATTGGGAATGGGCCCTGAAAAGGTAACAGTCACTAATGGAAAACTTCAATTAGTGTGTGAAACAGATGTGAAATGGACAGTTATAATGGTGAATTCCTTTTTCTCCAATGCCGATTGCTGCTGTGTTTCAGAACACACGCCAATGCCTTACCCTCTTCTGCAGTCGTCCATTCTCCTTCTCCAGCTCAAGAATTTGGTCAAAGTTTTCCACCATGGTTTTCTGCTTCAGTTCCTCCACCTGCTGCTTGAGCCTCTGGTTCTCCAACTCCAGGCGCAATATCTTAGAATTGGCTGTATCATTCATCTGGTCTGACAGGGTGCTGGACAGACCTGGGAGGAGAAAATAGAAACTGATTAAATAAGAAATAAAATGAGGATGATACTATTTTCACGACAATGCTTAGCCTGTTTGTCTGAAATATAATAATACTGATTTGTAAAAGTGATCCAGCTTATTTCCCTTTTTTTGTTCAACTTTTGATATTGTTTTGCTTTTGTATTATCTTCACTATAGATTTTTAAAAACAATAACGGTAGAGGAAAATTGAAGCTAATTATTTACCCAAACATTTGTTTTACTTTAACATACTTATTTACCCAAACATACATTTTACTGTATAGATTAATGAAGGGAAATGTGACATGAGACGATATGTTGATGTTACCTGTGGTAATCTCTGCTCTGGCTTGACTTAATTCCTGTTCCAAGTTTGCACTTTCATTCATGCTGCTCTTTTTCTCAAATTCCAAACGAGCATTCTCTTCTGCCAGTTCCTGGCATCTTCTTTTGTCTTCATCTCTTTCCTGAGAAAAAAAAGGAATGATGAATATTTATTAGTGGAAAGGCACTTTTATGTGTTCTGTGAGGTTGAAGAAAAGGTATTTATTTTCTATCAATTTTTATCAACCTTATGCCTTTGGAAGCCTAGATTAGAGTTTATTCAGTTTGCACAACGTAGACCAAAACTGGGTTCACCAGTCATTTTGTTTCATCAAAATAATCTTTAAAAAAAAAAAAAAAAAAGCAATAAATATAATTAATAATATCCAAAGATATCTTAAGCTTTTGTGAGCCTATATTTCAGTTAACTTACAGTGTATAGTTCCTCCACTCTCTGCTTATATCTCATCAGCTCATTCTCCAGTTCTATAACTGTCTCCACCCTCCTGTGACTGCTGGACAGCTGTTCCTCCAACATGGCCTTGGTCTCCACCAAGATCTTATTGTCCTCTCTCAACTCATCCACCCTGGCCTTGTAGAACTCAAGCTCATTCAGCTTCTCTTTGTAACGGTTGATCTCAGCATCGCATTTCTCCACTCGGCTGGCCTGGATATTGTTAAGTTAAATACTATATATTTATTGCCATCTTCTGTTTTTAGGGTTACAATGCATTTGGTTTGGTGGTTTTGTAAGGGAGCAATATTTTTTTGATAAAAAAGACCACAGGCATAAAGAAAACATGGTATGAATTACATCTTAATTCACAACATATGAAGTACTTTTCAAACTCCTGCAGATGACATTCATCACCTTTTCTCTAAGGACATCCACTTCATCTCTGTATGTTCTGGCAGCACGAGCATCTTGGGTCAGCTGAAGATTCTGTCAAAAAACAAAAGAATGGGTCTAGTGTTTGCAATTCTGAAGACTAGCTAGAAGTTGAGGCCCATCAAGGGTAACCAACTCTGTGCAACTCATGCATTAATTTTTTTCTATGAATAATTCCCCTTGCATTATTTTTTTTTCATAACAGTGCACTTAAGTAATAAGGTATAAATTTTAAGAGTATAGTCAACTTTTTCAGTCTGTTAACTCAGGGTGAGTTATTAGGGAGAAAAACGGTAGATTTACTCATTTTGAGTGCTGCTGTCTACCCTAGCCATCAATCAACAAAATTTATTATTCTTTCCCAGAAGCAATGACAGTAATTCTACTTCTACAGTTAAAACAGGATGCAGTATGCTCATGCTGTAGTTAATGAGAGGATGTTGTCAAATTCAATTATATGTGCTGTTAGACATGCTATTGTGTTTATACCACAGCTTTTTTTTTCATACTGCATATTAAGGTGACCTATTTTCTCCCACTAATAACAAGTGACATTTAGTAAAGCATTATTCTAGTAATTCAGAAATGTTTACAGCATAGCCTACCCACCTCATTTCTTAGTTTGGAGAGGACACCCTTGTTCTCCTCAAGCTCATCTTTCAGCTCGGAAACCAATTCATTTTTTTCTTCCCTGCAAAACAAACATTTCTCGTGAAGAAAAGTACACTTTAAAGGGGTTTGAAAAACAGGAAACTGTAATATTACCTAAAACATTACCACCATGAACCAAGCACATTTCAGGAGTAAAATAAAAACAAGAGGAACAATTAAAGATATTGATTACACATAAGATGCGTGCAGGAACACACTGCACTTATTACTCTGTGAATCATATGCCTAAATATATCCTTTCCTAGGACAACACCATATTTCATTCAAGCATTAATCTCATAGACACAATACATGAACTGTTACCAGTATTTATTCAACTGTGGTAACTTAACATCAGCCAAGACCTCAGAAGAATGATAACATTTTGGAGGAATGGGAAACATTAGCTGTAGCAATTATCCCCACTCCGTAACTGCCAAATAAAACTTTGTGTTCTATGGATCGGATGGTAAAACTGTACACATTTGTTTCCATTTCATAGCCTATAATTGTTGATGGTCAAAAAACAATTGTGTTTGACGTAAGGGACAATAACTCATTTACAACACTTCATTATCCTGTCCAATAATCAAATTAAGCTTGCCATATACAAATGACCTTTTGTATCAAGGGGTGAATCTATATTTGTTATCTGTATTCTCAGGATAGACTGGTATTTCAGCTTGGATCCCTTTCACTGCACAATCTACATAGCACATTAGGTGCTCACTATAAACTACTTATCTAATTTCTATGCTCCATTAAGCTGAGATAGGGTATCCATAGCTAGTCTAGATTGCATGTCTGAATAAGCATCACTAAATAAGTAAACCCAAGGAAAGGCCGTCTTAAAAGTGTTAATAAATTAAATTGAAATAAAAAGGGTAAGTTTTAATTTCTTTTCTTTCCATCTTTTACTTTCATATTTTCAAGCACACCTCTCCGGGAAAATCCAGGATAGTTTAACCTTTCTTTATTTTTAACTTTTTATAGAAAACAAGTATTTGTTTGTGCATCTGTGTGGACAGTAGCACACTGTTAAGGGACCATTCCCATACCCTATCTTACTAACTGTGGATCGATCTCTATCCAAGGGGATTCTCACTAAATTGCAATCAACTTTAGCAGCTTAGATGTTTGCTACACCTACTGAAGCTGCTTGAGGGTAATTAATTATCATTAAGCAGCTTCAGTAGGCTGGCCAGATGTCTAAGCCACCCGAGCTCAAAGCAATTTTGTGAAAAACCTCTTTGAGATGGATCGATCCTGTTAGATCGATCTAAGTATGGGAACGGAGTCTAAGACTTACAGCTCCTGCCTGAGTCTCCTCAACTTTGCCTTGCTTTCTGCCAGCTCCACACCCAGGTGATGTTTCTCTGGGGTGGCAGGGGAGGAGGGGGCATTGCTCAATTTGGCATTCTCTAACTGTGACTGGAAATAATCGTTTTCTATTGTTGCCTTGGCCAGATCCTGAGGAAGAAAAAAAAACAGCAGCAAATTATTCAGATATTATCATCTAATTCAAATTCTGAATAGATTGCTCGCACGGATGGATACCTGATTGATAATGACTTCTGTGAAAAGGTCACTTAGATTACGAAGGAAGCAGCGATATTCTCTCAAGTGTGAAACTAAATTCAGAACAGACTATGTTTCATTATTCTCGGAAAACCATTCCAGGTGCAGAAACACCGATCATTTTCAGTTTAGTGTTTTTACAATTTCTCTCCACTGAGTTTCACTTGAATGAACCAAATTATTATAAATCAGCAACTGGACACAAAGGCATCCATTGCTCTGTCTTTTCCCTAACAGACCACCCTGGTGTATGTGCATGTGTGTTGGCCAGGGGATCAGTTATGGGAACTCTTTTTACCTTGAAATATTGGTCCCTTTCATCAATGAGTCTTTGTAGATAGACTTGGACAGATCTGGCCATGCCTTCCGTCTCATCTGGCAGGATTTCAATGGGCAGGATGTTGTCTGTATCATCTGTGATCTGGAACGGAGAATTCAATAGATTTGAGCATGAGATATTATTTTTACACAAAGATGAAACATAACTGTTACATGTAATTTGCATTTTTAATTTCCTCTCTTGTCTGATTTTCAAATGAGTTCTCTCTCTCTATCTCTCCCCTTGTCTAAATACTAAATCTAATAGCCCATTTATCTTGGAATATCCCACTAACTTTAATCGGCTCAAAAACCACACCTTAAAAATGCCAAAAAACTGGCAACTGAACTATAATAAACATTCAGGTGCAATATCATATTTCCACAAAGAGATTTTTAAAACTTTTTTTTTTTTTGCAGGCGTGCATCTGACCTGCCATTACAGGGCATCTTTCTCATGTTCTCATGTCAGGCTTCTTAAACTGCCTCTGGTGTTCAGATGTTATGTTTCATACTCTTATCTTTTGTGTGGTCTTTGAGTGCAACCTTTCTATCAAAATGCTTAAAATTTCATGATTTGGATATTTGCATTTACAGTAAATCTTTCCATGATCATTCTCAATTTCACGATATAAAAGCTTCTGCCCAAAGTTAAACCATGTGTGTAATCCCAAAGGTTTGTCTTTAATTGCTGAATTATGAAGTATAAATGGTTTTGCTTAATTAGTGCCAATGTTTCATTAGGAGGCATTTTCCCAACAGACTACATATCAGACTTCAGTAGCAAATACGCCCCATCTTACACAAACCAAAGTCTGAAATAATTTCTGTGCTTCACTGGCTGAAATAATACCGATATTAAAGGGGGATTTGTGGGATTCCCAAGGCTTGATTGCAGACCATGTCTTGTAAGCTTGCTGTCTTCAGTTGCACAATAATTCTATATATTCCTTCATATGCAAAGAGGGAACAAAGAATGCTAATAAAGGGGAAGAATTTATCCCTTTCCTTGACCATTTTACCCAAAAACCAACAATATTTTTCTCGTCTTTTCAGCCTTATAGGCAGAAAACATTTCCAACGAAAATATATTCCCACCCTTTCTATATGACAAAGAAATAATCTGTGGATACTGTATATGTTCAAATGTCTTACACTGCTTCATTTTCATCAAATAAGACAAATCTAAATCCTACAGAAGCCTTACAGGGGCTAAAACCTGAGATCAAGCAGTGACAGCATATTGATCTACCTGCTAAAATCAGCTGGCGATTGGCTTGTTAAGGTATTCTATATACCACCAAGTCAGTCAGTAGAGGCAGCTTCTACATGACTAGACAACATTAATATCTCATATTACCAGACAGCTGTTCCAAGCATCACCTGATGATGTACTGGACACAATCTATCCATGGCAGGTAATTTATTACTAGTGCTCACCTGAATGAGCTGATCATGCAGTTCATATAATGGAGGGATTTCCTCTACTTTATATTTCAGTTTTAAGTCTTCCTAATGAACAGTCTCTGTCAGATCAGTACAGTGATGGTACAAAATACACAGTTTCTGAGATAATAGGAGAGTTAATTCTACGAGTAATGCTCTCAGCTATTTTGTAACAAAACCATTTTAATATTGCCATGAAAAATCTTTTTTTTCGTGTACCACTACCAACTTCAGCAGAAGTTCAAATATGATTTTCTTTATCAAACATCCATGCCATTCTAAATTTTTTTTAAAACAACACAGACTCAAGATTAAAGGCCAAAGAGATTTGTCAACTCTCTTTTTCACAAGTCAAGTAAAGTACACATCAGAATTAATATCTGCACATTTGTGCGGCAGCCATTATGTTTTCAATTTAACAAACGGATTACATACTCTACAGCTGCTATTGTCCCATAATTGCTGCAGTTTAAAAAACTGAACAGATGATGGCTTTTAAAGAGCAGACTGTGACATATGTCTGTTGAATAGAACCTGGGAACAGATTCCTGAGAACAGCTGTACTTAGATGCCTGAAGACATGTTCAGAATGTGTCTAACTTGAACCAAAAATACTATTCCTGACTCACCAGACAATATGTTGTGCACAGCTCTAAATGGGATTTCAAAGCATTAGAAATGATGGGTTTCTGATGTGACTTGTTCTTATAGCAGAATCAATTAGATTATTTCTGGTTTAAGTTGGATCAGTTTTGAATACACCATAAGATGGGTGGCCATATGTGCTTGTACAAGCTGATTAGCTTAATTTAGGTTTCAAGAAGACAAGAATGGACGTTTTATCAATCAAAATGTCTCTTTTTTTCTATCAAACACTTTGAACACCGAGCATCTGGATTTGTGTTGATAGAAATGCAGCTAAAGAAATATTTTTTTTTCTATCAGTCTCTGACAAACTTATATTGTAATACAATCTAATGTATCACCATGAAATACTAAAAATTCTTTACATTGAAAAATATTGAAAGTAGACTTCAAAGGCTGGATTAACTTAATTATTTCTTATACTCAGTTTTATTTTTTAAATAGAACAACCATTCAGTTCTTATCAAACAGAAAGATAGAAATCTCTTGCAACCAAACAGTATTAAACAAATATGCAGGTGCAAAAGCTAGTTAATCAGCAGGATGCGACACGTCTGATCTAGTTTTTCTTACTATCTGTACAACCCCTGGGTTTCTTTAATCAGCAGATAAACTTATTTCCTCCAGAATATCAAACAACATATAAAACACACGCTGTATTTTGCTTTTGAATATTATCACAACTTAGATGTTTGATCACGGACCTAATTTGTTTACTAAACTCACTGCACTGGGTCGGTAATTCATGCAGATATGGCTGATCTCATATAAATCCTCTTATCAGGAGGTTATTGAGGTTTTTACCACAGTGTATGACACAAAGTATGTTTTCAGGAAACTTACACACACCAGGTAATGAAAAGCCAGGTGCAGTATTAAAGCTGGTTCAATATGCCCTTGCACTTTCTCTATGATAACATCCACTGTTTTAGTACAGCACTTAGTACAAAACTGTGAACAAATATTAATCACAACCTTCCTTCTTAAACTGAACAAGAGAAATGTTTATTGCCTTTGTGCATGTATATATGTGAATAAATAAATATTGTTATTAGAAAGCAGAAAGTATTATCCTACAACTCATTATGGCTAAGGAGCATGCATTCGGATAACATCTGCACTATTGTGACTTTCAACCTATTATGGCCAGTCTCATGATGTGGTCTACTGAGTTCACTTATTTACCTCTTTGATGTGAACAACCATGGCATGTTGGACTTCTATGTCCAGGGACTTGATGATCTCAATAAAATCTTCCTTCTGTTCGCACTGGACAGCACAGCCGAGAATCATCAATAGTGCTTTCTGGAGCTCATTGACACTGGCCTCTGTAAAATATAATAACAAAGAATAATACACGTTATAAAATCTTAATTAAATTTTTAAAAGTTTGAAAAAAAAAAAAATTAATAAAATATTCTATGGGACTCAATTGGGAATTGATCATTGCATTTAGGTATCTTTTTCTCCCCCCCTCCCTCTTATCTAATATTATTATTATCAATTATAACTTCCTTTTTTTGGAGGGTGGTGGGGTAGCCTATTAACAATACCACCAATGACCAATAAGACAAACCTTAGTTCAAACCAAAGCAATCACTTGACAAGTTAAACCAATATCACACACACACACACACACACACACACACACACACACACACTATTGTGCATTTATCAGTATATCATGTATTAAATTGTTAAATCATAGTTATTGTACCAAGTGTGCTAGCATCAATAAAGGAATTATAATTATTATACGAATTATACATGTACAGTCTCTATCATGCAGTATTAAGTTTCTAGTGTATCAAAACAGCATGAAAACCCTGCACCACATCAGTACCTGTATCTGGTTCTCTGCAGATTAGGAGAATATTTGGAGCTTCCATAACAACCAGTTGCTGCAGGACATCCTGAAACAACAAAAACACACAATATCAGGCTGGTCTATAGATAAAAGTTATAAAGTTCAAATGGTCAGATTTCAGTGGTGGGCAATTTGTACATGGACATGCAGAAAAAGAAACCGACATACTCCATTTTACTTATAGTCAAAATATGGCTTTGAAACACCCAAGTAAAGTGTGTGGTTTGATATTCATGATTTCATTAAAAAAGCAATAAGGAACAACATAAATCCACAATAATGGACCCTTACAGCGAATAACTCTTGGAAGACAGAAGTATTACAAATAACAATTTAAAATTCCAACTGGGTAGTTAAGTGCTCAACCCCCAGGAGGCAAACGAAAGTTCAAGTACACTCTATGAATTTTAATATGTCTATGCATCCAATTTTCCGAGTTTATTTCAGCATAAGCTAGAGGTATTAGATTCTATGCAAGCAGAAATTTTAACAATTCTACTTTCAAGATTTAAAAATTCACATCTGCTATCAAATAGTTATTTATCATGAAACTATCTGAATCATTCCTGGGTCTTGGAAATGTCTGGTTTCTTTACCCTAAACCTAATTTGAGCTACATCGTAAAGTAATTTAGAACGAATTTATCACCCCCCAGTCCCATGAAGTAGGGCACTGGCTGAAGGGTCCCTGCCTTCTATAAGCACCTGAATGTTTACATACAGTCAGCTATCATTACTCCATAATAATCAAACACTTTTAACTTGTCACCAGCAATGACGCATTAAGCAAGCCCAGTATTCCACCCATGTTTGTTTAAATGCTGATTTCATTAGAGATTGGAAAGTGCCTAGAAATAGTTCGGTTTGTGTAATCTTATCACCTAAGACTTGGAACTCGGAAGGCTTTGGGTTAAAAGCCTTGCACCTGGTAGGTAAGGAATGAGCCATGTGGACGAGGGGAGAGTACAGGAATGGCCGTGTTGAAAAGGGTACAATATCTCAGTCCTCCAACATGATAAAGATAACTCTAGATTAGAACTGTAACTTCATTAAGTGATTTTAAAATGCCTTCAGCACTTTTCTGGCACATGCTGACACATACATACACAAATGAGTTAACATGTTTCATAAAATTAAGATATACATCAAAACCTATAAGATATTGATGAAATGGCCTTTAAATTACATTTTGATATAGATATGTCATGAAAAACCTGACTAAGTTAAAGATCATTCATGGTTGAGATGCTATCTGCTAGGTATGCTTGTTTTATCACTGAGGTTACATGGTGACAGATGACCACAAAGTGGATGACACTGGGATGGATTTTATTAAAAAAAGTTAAGATCGAAAGTTGGTCTTAAATTTTAAAACCAAAACTTTGAGTCTTTACCCAAGATAAAGTGGTAGTCTGCTTACATGGAATATTGCAAAACGGCTCTTTCAGATCCATAGTACCTTTATTTTAGTAGAATACTATGCATTTTATCCTGAGTTGAAGTCTACAGACTTTTTTCTGCTTTTTAAGTTTAGACCACCCTCTGGTCTTTTATTTTTTCGTGACACTGGCCTCCAGTTTGCTTTTCCTAATCTAATTCTCACAGAGGAAGGTTTGGCAACATGACCTGTGCTAACAAGTGAAGTCTATGGGAATCTACCTGATAAATCCCTCACATTTAGATCATCAATAATACATCTGATACAGACATGCCAATCCACAAATTATCACATTATTCATTTAGACACCAAATACTGCAGTGGCAGAGATTGATAGAACACATTGATCAGATTGGTCATTAAATGAAACTTCTGTTTGAAATCAAAACACTCCCTCAATTGTTATTTTCTCAGAAAATGAACCCCTTTGAAATAACCTCTACTGTACATATTACAATTATAAAATTCAGCAGCAGTAAGAGCCGTTTTCTCTGAATGCCATTCAATTGTTATTCCGTTTAAACATGACAGAATGTCCTGTAGGCCAGGGTCACTTGGCAAAATGTGTTGGTACAAAGTACTAAATTGGATTCAGCGCTTTTAATTTCTGAAGCTGCATTTGACCAATGTTGACACCAATTTCACAAGTGGCAATCCAATCTTTTGATATATATGAAGTGAGTGTTACGGTATGTCAGTGCCTTATTATAATGGTTTTATGATATCAAGTGCTGTTCCGAGAGAAGCACATTTTATTCAAAATCCCAAACGTTATTGACTGTGGGTTTTATTGAATTTCCACATCATTAATCTTGTTATAAAAAATTGACAGAACAATTTGTTGGCCTCTTTGATAAATAGAGTGATACCTAATATCTCTGCTCTGAACTAGGCTTTCTTGTGCATGAGAACTGGTTTCACAACATTAATCCAACTCATGGATTTCCAATAAGAGAAACCAAAAGATATGAAAACGGAGAATAGTTTGGAATTTGGGATAATCAATAAATTCATGAATGTTCATGTGGCAGACTTCCGTGTGGCTTTTCAAAGCTTAATCTTTGTACTGCAATTGTATATAACTGAAAGCATGACAGTTTGATCCCCCATACCATTGTCTGCACTGTGGTATAACATGACCCTACAAAAAAATACATAAAAAGGAGACAATGAAACATTCAATTATGTACTAAGTCAGGAAAGGTCAAACAAAGAATTCACCCTTAAGGCAAATACTTTGCAGTTCACTTTGCTTTAAGCACATAGCACAGGCTTGCACAACAATTGTTCTTTCCAATTCCCAATTTTCATCTCTCAAGAATCTGCTTATCATGGCTATGAATAATTTCACTTGAAACTGGGAGGGATGGACTAAATCCAAAATATAGCATAATTAAAACACATGCACTTAAATTTCATAGAATGAATCAACTTGACTTGTCCCACGTGTGTTACCTTGGGACATAATTAAACTGCAAACACATCTTTGAGTTGGTCCTTCCTCCAGTACAGACACAAGCTAGTTCCTGCAGGACATCAGGAAAACAAGTACCTGTATGTGACAAGGTAGTACCTGGGTCCACACAGTGCTATTATTGCTACATTTGACCAAGAATTCCATGCCATTTGACAAAGTTACTGTACCAAACAGACTAAGCTTATCATAGACCAAAACATAAACATCTGATCAAGTAGTATTTATAAAAAAAAAATTTTTTTCAAAGGCTGGATTTTGAACTTAATACAATATGCTACACAAATATATATTTTACTTGGTAACAAAAAAAAATTCTTTTTGATTTGTACACTACATGTACTCTATCATATTTCATTAGCATCAAATAAAATTGGCTATAAATTATTTTTCACAAAAGTTTAGCTTTTCCAATTATAAGAAATAAATGGCTTTATCCTTGATTTCACTTTTTTCCCCCAGCAATGAGTGGCTGTGCCCAATTATTATTTAGTTGTATACAAGTCAAGGCCATCATATAAGTCTCATCCAAGGTTTTGACAAGTAATAAGAGGCAATCAGCTGATTGTTGCTGCCAAACACTCTGTTGCCAAAACAAGACATTCATTTCAACTGTGCAGCCTGTACTTACGGAAAAGGGCAATGTAGTAGGGGGTCAAAAAATTAAAATACCTAACCATATTTAATCCATGACATAACAAACTGAAAAATATGCTTTATTACTCAGCAACATCATGGTGTACTAAATCCCAGGCAGAGAGGCCCACCTGTAAATTCCAAGTCATTCACTCTTGATGCACCTCTTTAATGTCTGACACAGCTTGCTGATAAAACTGTCAAGATTCAGAGGTGTGCACATTATAGGGTTTTAATACGTAAACTCCAGGTTGACTATCTGCCCTAGCAGGTGCCCCAGGTCATGAGGAAATCTGTGAATGAGAGGTGCTCCCATCTGGTTTGGATATCTACTGTGATTACTCACATTCTAAAATGCTAGGAAAAAAAATAGCTTGCATATTCTTGGAGGTAAAAGATAACACAGACATCAGATTTCCCCTGCATAGTATTTCCTGTTCAAAGTTGGAAAGGTCAAGTCTGAGGCACTTCTGAAAGTTTTTTTTTCTCAGCTGATGTTGGCTGTTGTTATATATATTGCATCATGACTGCTTTTTTTTAGAATAAATCATTTAGTTATATTCACTGAACTCGGTGATTAAAAAAAAGCATTTCAACAGTTGCAACATTTGGCATTAAAACAATTCCCACTCAAATAAAAAAAAAAAAATGACTGACAATAATTGCAAGAGAAAACTCAGGTGCTCAGGAGGTGTTCTGACATTAAAGATAAATGTACATGGTTTCAAGGTACTTAAAATTGTCACGTCATGTTATCAGGGGGCATATGTTAAACTTCCTGGCAGGTAACATTGCGCTAATTACCCAACCATGTACAACATTATATTTGGTATATCATGCAATTACAGGACACCTTCTACATACCAGACACATAAATCTTCATCTAGTTTCTTGTCTGCATACTTTGACGTGACTAAAAAGCTTCGTTTTTTTTTCTTTTTCTTTTTTTTTCTTTTTTTTTTTTTTTTTTTTTTTGTATGCAAAATGAATTCAAAGCATCAAAACAAATGCATACTGAAAATAATCTGTTTATTATTGAAACTTTGGTTCCACTAAAAATCTATTTTTTTTCAGTCACTGGAGAACATTTTCCCACTAGTTAGCTTCAGCCTCGGTGATTTAAATATATTTAAAATCAGACCCTCCAAACAACCATTAATCCCAAGTTATACTAATAGGTACAACTAATGGCTGCTACGGGGATATGTTGAGTTTTAAAGCAGTCTTACACAATAGCCTGCAACTTTGCATTTCACCCACAGCTGAGTTCACAATAATTCACTCAGTTTTCTCTTAGCAAAACAAGTCTCAGTTGATCAGTAGCAGTCTAAACCTATTGAATTACAGGTTATACCAACCCACAAACAATGGGCCAGAGGGAGAGGGCAAGAACAAGGGTTACCAATCAATTAATATCTAATATGGTATCAGGGGCCAATCCAGAGATCAACCTTTTTAACAGAATAAATTCAAATCAAATTTGACCCGAGGTATGCCGTGACAACTAGTTAGCATATTAACACTACACAACTTGCTCACAATTCTATTAACACCAAAAGAGAAAAGAGGAGAGGGGGAAGAACAAGAGACATACAAGGCACACTGCCAGGTTGTATACAAAGTTGTAAGCAATGTTTGCAAATACAGCTTACAGTCCAGCGGTCAACGCAGAATGCGATCTAAAGAACCCATTCAAATGGCTGAGTGGCCAAGTATGCAGTCACCAGCACCAACTGAGAACATTGTACCCGACCCCTTGAACTCTACCTCTAATCACATCAGACCCTAAAAAAAAACACCCCTTTCCAAATCGGTTATAAAAAGGCAACAAAGTTGTTATGCAATTCAAATGGATCCAGAGATTACATCTGCATAAAATACAAGTTATGTTTTCTATTCTCGCCGCTACAGAGGTTTCAGAACCGGCACATTGTGCCTTTTCTTTTAAAAAATTCCAGGCTGTATATTGCTTCCGCGATCTGTTCAACAGGCGTGTATGGCCTTTTCAAGCAGACTCTCCAGAATGTTGACATCTAAGTTGACCATCTATCACAAGATAGTTTTGCTTTGTCAAGACAACCAACCAACCAATTTCATGGCCGAATGATTTACAAATGAGACTGATATAAAAACAAAATTTCTGGTCATTTTTTTTCCATTTGTATATACCACCACTGCTCCACTGAGCACGAAACCAGGTGTAACATCCACAACCAGACTAACCACAAATTGTCTAATTTGTAGGCAGGCATTCCCTTTAAAAGAGGTTAAAACTGGAAGCAAGTAGCCTCAACCCCAAGTGTAGAAGGCTATAAAAATAGCCTAGGTTTATATCAGCTACCAGGTATGTCCAAGTGGATGGTTCACCAGCCACAGGAATGATTGAGATAGTAATCCCAGTCTGCTCCTAATCAGCAGGCTTTATTGAATATACAGAGGCCTTGGCCATGTTATGAAAAAAGCTGGCCCCAAGTAGTGTTTCATCCACAGGTATGAATATATTTGAAGTACCTGTCCCTGATGGATACACGAGAGGAACAGATCAAAGGAATTAAAGGAACCACCACCAATGATTTAGGAACATGTTTTGTGTTGTCCACTAGCTGTTATTCATAGATCAAAAATTAAATGTCCAGACAGTCTCCTGCTTACTGGGCAGTCTGTTCACATGACCAAATACATCACACACCTGTGGTATAACTGATATTGCTAGCTTCCTGTCTGTATCTCGTGCAAGCTGAGTTTTAGAATTTTTTTCTCAGGCTGTGTTCAGAATAACTTAATCATGCTAGCAGGATCGATCTATCTCAACGTGGATTTTCACCAAGGTACAGTCAATGTTATCAGCTTTATTGTCTGGCATGCCTCCTTGGAAAGCAACATTAACAACATTACGGACCACAGTTTTCCAAACTTTATTTAGTACTTAAAGTTATGAAGGGGCATGCCAGACAATAAAGCTGATTACAATGACTGGGCCTTCATGAGAATCCCTGCTGAGATAGATCGATCCTGCTAGTATGATGACTTCTATTGTGAACGCAACCTAAGAAACACATGCTACATGGTCTCAAACAGGTGACTTTTGCAAGGCCATATGAAAAAGGAAAGACCTGATGATAACAGATTCCAACCACTCTCCCATTAAAAAAAAAACAAACTGAAATTATGTGTGAGCCTGTGTTTATAAAATAAAATCCCTGACTTCCACAAGTCGCCACACTTTCTTCCAGTTTTCCCATGATTCATTATGTCTTTGTCTCCATGTCTGCTGGCAGTCTGATTTATTTGCATGACGAAGTAATAAAGCCCCCATTAAATAATGAAGTCCCTCTGAAGGAAAATCAAGTCATTTCTTTTTTTCAATGTTATCACGATGCAATTATTTACATGGCAAAGTAATAAATCCTCCATTAAATAATAAAGTCCCTCTGAATGAAAATCGATTCATTTCCTTTTCAATATGTACTTGCCATATCATAAATATCACTGCTGCTCTTACCTGGTAGTAGGATTTGAGAGCCTTCACCAAAATGTCCCAGTTCTGAAGTCTTCCAGCCACATCTTCAACTGGACGGGATATACTGTACTTCTCTGTGTTGGGACGGGGATCACTACAATATAATAATAATAATAATAATAATAATAATAATAATAATAATAATAATAATAATAATAATAATTCAAACTTAGAAAAAAAAACAGTATGTGGTCTGCTTGTAAAATTTTGGTTGCTGTATTGACCAAAAGCATGTTTAAAAGGAATAGTCTCTAGCAATTTTAAATGATGCTGAAATTTTGAACAGTTATTATCAATTGTTTACTTTATTTTTTTCAACACTTGAACAGCAGATGGCCTTGAAGTCAAACAGACAAAATGTGATGCATTTTTTGAAAGTGTCATGAACTTTCCACGATGTTATTTCCAAAACGTTCTAAAAAGCACCTGCTGAAATAAGTTACTTAGTTAATGCAAAAAAAAAAAAAAAAAAAATGAATGAGGTTTATTGAAACCATACACATTCTTGCATTCTTTTACAAAAACAACAACAGAAAGTGAGAATACAAGCCTTTTCTCTATAAACCTTTCTGGTGTCTAGCTGGGAATCTAAACAGTCTGATACCTTCAGAACCAAACTCCCCCAGTTAGGATCTTTCCAAATGATTTGAGAAAAGAGCACAAGTTGTTCTTGGAGGCAAGGCATGCAGGGGATCACTTGTAGATTAACTGGTATTTTGATTTCAAGGAGAAACTGTTTACAACTAAGCACGTAATGCTGCTCAATTTGTTTTTCTTCCTTTCTTTTTTGCCAGATTATCTGAGTGTGAGGAATGCCATGAAGACAGGTATATCAAGATTTTGCTTGTTTTCATTCCCATATCAGGTTGCTAACTAGCAAGAAAAGTCGTGAGGAACAATGGTTGAGTGCTGAAGTAAGCGATTCTGTAAAGTGTCAAAAGATATTATGAAGAGAGACTGAAAGTGCAAGGCAGTAAGTAGAAAGGTCCACCTAGCAAAGACCCCAAGAGAAGGATTTTCATCTTTGAAACAGGGGGTGAAAGTGTAGTTTACTGCAAACTCCTTTTATTCTGACTGTACTCTGTGGAAAAGGCTTATACAAAGCAGGTCTCTTCAATCTCTTCAATCAATCTTGGGTTGGAAAAGTGGCCAATGCTATCACAATGTTCATTTTTTCTGATCAGACATTGAAAAAAAGTAGTGTAACATAATCCCACACTATAACACAACAATATTTTCATGACCTTATTCTATTTTTTCCTGTTCCCCTTCTTTCACTGAGCATAAAAGATAAAACAGAATAAAAGGTAAACACACCAACAATAGACTTCAAATAATAAAAGGAAAAAGAAAAATCACTCATAGAAGAAGGAACTAAAGTGAATTATTTCCAACTCTTTTGTTCGGGATTACCAGCTTTCATCTTAAAACACTGATATGACACTATAAAAGAATGATTAAGATAAGACACATTATGCAGCTACCTTTTAACAAGAGTGGCCTTTAAAGAAACCAAGATCGTTTAGCCTACGGATGTGATAAAAATTCTCCGTCTTTTAACTTCTCTGATAACCTCCTGTACATAAGACAAACAAAATGAACGCACAATACTAATGACCTCAAGATATCAAATCTCCATAACTTTGCTCTATCAAAACACTAGCTACCTTTGTATTGTACTAAATGTAAAGGATATACCTCTGTAAATTTAGATATTTGAAGTGAACTAATGTTTCTGCTCCATTACTTTACGCCATGAACATATTTGCTAATATTGTCCTCCGTTTGCTTAGGGGATTAGAGGTGTATTTGAAATAGGTGAAAAGTCCCTTCAGTGGTCAATACACCAGATGTCGGTAAATTTTAACCAACGAGGGCAAAATTGTTAAAAATACCAAATGGCTGAACTGGTTTAAAATGAAATTCTTGTCACTGGAGCTTAATTCCTGGCTGGTGCAATTTTTATGCACATAATACTAAATAATCTCCCATTTATAACTAGCTTTATTACTACAGCACTTCACCATGCATCCTGAAACATTGGGAATATTACATAGCATGCCCCTTACTTAATTTGTCTGGATTCCCAATTTCAAATCAAACACTAGTTATGCATTATTGTGCTTGATCACACCTTTATCAATCTTGCCTTTTGCACATAAAATATGCAAAGGTGTGGTTCAGTCACAAGCACCAGAGTTTCTCTCTCAGACGAGAAATCAATAATAACACAAATGTCCGCCTTTATCCTGCCATTAGTCACTTTCCCTGGAGACACTCAGGTAAGACACAGGAACTCCCAGAGGCTGAATCTCATAAAACAAAACGCCACTTCAGTCTGCATGCTTTGTCATACAGAATGTACAGCTATAAATTGATATGACTAGACCTGGAAGATATAATTTGGTTCATGATGTGGCTATAGACTCATAATTACGACAAAAGGTGACGCATTGTGAAACAATTCCCTTNCCGGCCTGAAAGCCATTTCTGCTGATACACTTGCTGTTATATAGTGTTCATATTCAGGAATGGTCTTTCCTCAAATAGACCCTTCCCTTACAGTGAATTGGGTCATCAAAACATTTCTCTTACATTCCTTTCTTGTGGAAAATTGATTGAGATATTGGGATCTCTTCACCCATGAAAAGAGAAACATTTAACAGAGTAATACCAACACTTAAATACTTGCACCTAGGCCTGTGAAAACAATGTGTGAAAGAGAGCTTTCAGACTGTCCTCCTCCTATTTAATGGTCAAGCAACATGGCGACCAAAGAAAGTTTGGTCTACAAGTATTAAGCTAACAATTCTAACCTTTCAGTCAGCTCAACTTTAATGGTAAATTTCAGTAACACTTCAACTTTGAAAGAGATCCATGATCCAACTTGTTTTCAGTGATCAGAAGAGAGAGAATTCTTCCCAAACCAATTCTACATATATTCCTGGGTAGATTTTTTTCATATGCTATAGTACTAGTGTATTTAAAGTAACCCCTTTCCACAGAGTCATATTTCAAAAAGTAAATACTCTTATCTGATTAAGCACAAATAAACACAGTTATTCACTCTTCAAACACTTCAATTAAATTCTATTTTAAAAGGGCATTTTGTCAAAACATTGGGCTAAAATACCAGTGAAAACTGGGAAAAATAGTCACCATCAAATGCTCAGTTTTCTGTGACTATTACTACGGACTTCATTTCACCATTATCTGATTTATATTCTGTAATCAAGCAGAATTAATAAACTGCATAATGAAGCTTATCTTAATCAAACAAAGAGCTGCCCCAATATCAAGACTTTCTGTAAGAAGTTTTGTAGAACACAGAGAGGGGATTGGCAACTGTAGCAGTTACAATACCGAAATAATCTGAATGATGAACACAGACATCCGTACAAATTACGGAATCAATACTTTTAGCACACACTGACAAGAGGTGATCAATTTTGGGATGCCATTATTTCACCTTACTTTATCAAAGCATATTGTTTGTATCTAACTGGGAAGACGGGAGGTACAGTAAGGCTACATTGTATATGGAGGCCCACAGAGCCCATATCAATCTACGGAAGTTATCACTTAGTACCATTATGAAGAGGCATCCGTCATAAAAAATTTAAAGAAATAGAGTGAGAAACAAAGTGTGGAGAGATATAATACAGGGCCTCATGGCTATACTAGTAACTACAGGTTGAGAAAAGAAAAGGCATCATGAAGGAATGTCATGATGAAAAGGGGGGTCTGGACCTTTACCCTGGGTGTATTCCTACTTAACTAGTGAAAAACAATTTGGGAAAATCACAAGACTAGTTCCTCCTCTGCCACCATCTATAACTTCAGCCACAGTGAAAAACATTTGGGGAAAATCACAAGACTAGTTCCTCTTCTGCCTCCATCTATAACTTCAGCCATAAGCTAATACACAGCAAATACTGTACAAACCTATAGGAAAGACCCAGCATCGCTACACATACACCTATTGATGCAATATTCTTGACTTATAGTCAGTATATCAATAGGAGGAAATTAATACCATCATGGGTCATAAAATGTTGTGCTTGATACGTACATGTGTTGCATGACTTCATTGAGAAATATTCCATCACAGAAGTCTTGATATTCCAGCTCCCTGTCTCCTTCCTGCTGGAATGTTTTCACCTGGAATAAATAAATAATTCACATAAAACTGATGACAAATACCCCAGCACAAACTTACATGCAAGTCATGGATGTCCTGTTTTTTTTTTTTTTTTTTTTTTTTTTCAAAATTAAGTTAATGAAGACTATGACCAATGCCTCTGCTATTCAAATATATTGGTTTTGCAATATAATCATGCAATTTTTGATGTTCGCCCCTGAAATTATCACATCTCTTGTTATACTGAGGTTGAGTTTTAAGTTTCTTGTATAAACATAAAAAATTAAGTTAATTTTCAAAGTTTCTTTGAATAACGGAAGCACTAATAACAGTGACCACATAACCAAATTTAGAGAAATATTGAAATTCAGAGGATCGGTAATTCAGCTTATCTGGAGGGGGAGGGGATATACTATAACTATATAAAATGATTAACCATTGTACAAAAGGTGGTGGTATTTTGTTTGCTGCATTTTAAACTGAATCAGCTGTTTTCAGATTTCACTTAAAACAACCATGAATAATTATAAAAGAATATGATACAATATGCCTTATTCTTAAGATCTGATCTCAAAAGCAAAACAACATGAAAACTTCACGACTTTCCAACTAAATTTAACGTTTAAGTATTAACAACTTAAGGCATTGTGCATTGTAGCGTTAAAGTAATTTCTTCTCTTTCATATTAAAAATTCAAATCATAACAAAACTAGGATTTTCAAACTGAAACAATGAATCATAAAAACCATACCCAAGTGACTAAGGCCGAAGCCATAAAGTTTGAGACGGCAGCCATTTTCCTAGACAGTGTCTTTTAAAGTTTGCCACTAAGACGATCTCTCAAAATACTCCATGCTGCTACATTTTTAGCTGTCTCAACAGTGGTTAATCCGACTAACGTGATAAAAACGCATAGTTTCCTCCCCTGTTTCTCTGCCGTTGTTTACATTCGAATAACGACTGTAGCCAGTAGACAATACAGGTGCCAGCTCTTGAGAACAACTTATTAAGCGATTGACAAGTATATTATTCCACATTCAGATCACCAAGAAGTAATTTCCAGTGCATTTGTGTTATCCTTTTATCCCGGTGACAATCGCAGGCCGACCGATGTTTTGAATTTGGAGCTCCGTTACACCATTACCTGTGGAGATGATACTACTATGACAAGTGACCTTATGTCACGCACCTTGAGGCCGCATTACTGCTTGTATCCTTCCGCCTTGCTTAAAAAGGGGAACTACGTGCAGGTATCCCCTAGTCTTTTATCACGAAAACTCGTAAAATCGATGTGCAATGTAAGAAATGGTCAAGTTTACTTCCAAATAAATCAATATTGTAACCATTCTTTAGTTATGCAAACAATTATATACTTTTGAGACTGCTTCTGAGTTTTAAAAAGTAGCAAAACTTTAAATGAAAATCACTAGCACCATCTATTGGCAGTGAGGCAAACTAAAAACACCTGACATTGGCAACAGAGCAGGAACTTTTTTATTTTGATATTTTATTAAAATTAAGTGAATGATTCGCAGAGCAATTAAATTTAGTTTATGGTTTTTTTTTTATTCCACAAAATTCCTAGTGTTTTGTTCATTTCGAAAAGAGTGCTGTAAAATAAATAAAGAGAAATTTATGTAAAGTTTTCATATGTAGAAATACTGAAAAGGCTTTGTTATAGTGAGAAAATTCTATTTGCAACACGACTAAAATGTATAAGTGTTTCGGGTACATAGCTTTATGTATATCATTTAAATTTCACATAATCTTATTTCTTAACAACTAACAACATCTAGCTGCCAGGGTGAAAAACAACATTGTTTTGCATCTAATTTTTTTTTTCTATCAGGTCATAGGTGAGGTGATAAAGGAAATCATTTTAAGCATTGAGATGAATGCACATGTAAAACGGATAGTCCAATTTTAGAATTACAATGTTTTTTCTCTATTTACATATATAAGTTTCAAATTTTATAAAAATTCACAATGTCAATATTCATAATAGTTCCCTCATTTATGTGTGTTGGAACAAACAAGTAATAAGGTGATATACTTTCTATAGTTTACAACAGTTTAAAAAAATTAAACAGCAATTTTGCACTTCCATGGAGAAACATTTGTCAATAAGTTAGGGATGTCTATCATCAGTTCTTGTTTGACATACAACTAAAGAACTGGAGAATTGAAGGGGGGCCTTCGCAACAGCTTGTCAGGTCAATCCAAATAATCAAAAATCTTTCCATCATATTTAGTTTGCTGGCCTTGTCAAAAATTATCACATTTCAGACCATAGGACTGCTAACATAAGTCAATCATTCAGTTCTGTGTATTTTCTATGCAAATTTGGCCACCTGGATGAGAACAGCCCATCTGGACTAAGCATCAAACTTGTTGCCAACAAGTTTTTTGAAGTGGATGGGCAAGTGGTCTGCTCGCGAAATGACTGGATGTTGGGAACCAGTTATTTCATTGGTATACTTATGTAATTAAAATGAATTGACAGAGGCATGCCATTTCTGTTTGTTTATAAGAGAAGTATCAGGCTTGTGGTAAGCAAAAACTGGTGTTGCACACTATTTATTGGTAACCTGAACAGAAATTTGACTGAGGCTCTCAAAACACCGTTACATGGGTGAGAAATGTAAAACCTGACAACATAACTTCCAATTTTTCATCGCATTTAAAATGTGAAAAAAATTATCAAAACAAAATCCTGTAATACATAATCCCGAAAACTTTTACCTATGCTGTTACCAAGGTAATCTCTCATTCATGAATTAATGCCACAAGACAATGAAATCAGGTTGGATATTTTTTTTTATTTCACATATTTATATACAGCAAATTCATTTTACTTGTCTTCTGGTTTGTTGAAAACGTATGTCAGACAGCATTTGCCACAATATTGTCTATCAAAGTGTGAAGCCATGAACACTCCAGCTCCACATTCTTCTGAGGGACACTCACGGCGCAGGCGGGTGATCTTGCCATTTTCATCAACCTGTCAAAAATAATGTTGTACATTAATAAATATGAACTAGTACAAAAAAATTTACTTAGGTGTAAAGGAAAACGTTTGCTCAGGTTAACAGCATTACTCATCAGGCATCAGAAGGTGTCCTAAGTTAGCTATTCATCATTGCAAGAGATTTAATCACTTTAACAACGATTTCAACTGTTTTTAAACTTTTTAGTGGACAATCACAAATATTTACTGCCAAGCAAGGAAATAATTTTGTTTTAAAATGAGTGGTATCACTGAAAGAAAGAGTTTTTGTGTAAAAAAACACTGCTACATATTTACAGACCTTGTAGTACTTGAGGACGGCCAACTTGACCTTCTTCTTCTTGTGCTTGTTCTTTTTGGGTGTGGTGTAGTTCTTCTTCTTTCTTTTCTTGGCACCACCACGAAGACGGAGCACTAAGTGGAGAGTGGACTCCTTCTGGATGTTGTAGTCGCTGAGGGTGCGACCATCCTCAAGCTGCTTGCCAGCAAAGATCAAACGCTGCTGGTCTGGGGGGATGCCTAAAGAAGAGTAGACAGTGTCAAGTCAGGAAACGGTTATTGTATATTATCGTCAGAGCTGTTCAATCTGACCAAATCAAGTTTCAGAAAAATAAAATATGCTGTTCACACCTAGTTCCCTAAATCTCTTTTAAAATGTTGTTGCTCAGAAATTTGGTAACGCATGGTAGTTCCAATCATTGACATCAGAAGTGTCCTAAGAATGTCATCCTTGCAACAAACAATTGATAACGGTGCTCTCACCAGTATTTAGTCCTTAGATAAAGATAACCTCACTACACATGGCAGCCTAAGCCAACTGCCCACCAAAAGTAACACCGGAGTGGTTAAGATTAAATTTTACACCACACTAGCTCACTTCTACTATAGACCCTGCTTGCCCTAAGTGCAAGTTGCTCCCCCATGTTTTTCTTTTATTTTGGCATGGGCTTCAACTTTTGTCTCAAGTCAACAACCTCACAAAATACTGTGGTACACAGTGCTATGAACATCGTGAAAATCATCAGATTTTTTTCTCTTATCTGTAATACTTACCCTCTTTGTCTTGAATTTTTGCTTTGACATTTTCTATGGTGTCACTGGGTTCAACCTGCATAAGAAAGAAAAATATTACAGAATTGCTAAATTATAAAGCAACTAAAACCAACAAATAGCTTCACTTGTTGCTCAGCCATTTTGGTAACGCATTGGAAAATGAAATCAAAACATTTCATAAGTGTCCTACTATCATCTTTGCAACAACAGATCTCTCAGATTACAAATACAGTTTGAGAGCATTTAACTAGCACAGTTTTCAACAGGAGAAAAGAGGGCGAAGAAATGTATAGTTAAATGAATGTATTACTGAAATCATTTTAGGAACTCATTGATAAACTGTTTTAAAAAGGGGTGATATAGCAATTTAATGTTTGGAAGTCCCATACCTTGGCATTTCAAAATTTTGATTTTTTGTTTTCCTAAAAATAGGAGCCTTTCTACTACTGTACCTAGTTAAACCAACTGGAGAAATGACACAGAATATAGATCAAATTTCAATTCAGAGCAGACCATGTCTTTTCAAAATGTAATTTCTGCCCCCCACCCCCCTCAGGGCCTGCATATTGTTACAGAATTTTAGGAACTAATCATACCTCAAGAGTGATGGTCTTCCCCGTGAGGGTCTTCACAAAGATCTGCATCTTCCGCCTTCAACCTATAAAGTGGAATGATAGAATTTATAAAATGACATTATTTGTCAAATATTGTGACACAACCTCTGTCTTTTCTTTGAACGATGTCCAAGTTTTATAATACTATATTAATAGATGCCAATCGCTCAGACAGTACAGCATTACTCATCAGACTTCAGAAGGTGTCCTAAGTTAGCTGTTCATCACAGCAAATGCAATATGTAGTATTTTAATGCCATGCATGTAACACTTTCATACTTCATATGTAGCTGCTTGCCACCCCACCCCCCCCCAAACACACACAGTGATAAAATTTGTGTAGTGTCAAACATTTGACAGCTTTTACATTCTTATAAGTGGTGTTTCAATGTATGAACTATTCCTATATATTGCACAAAGCGAACATCATATTTACACCTAACACTACATTATTCAATCTCAAATCCAAATCCATCCCCATTCATTAGACACAGTGTCTATTCCCAAATGCGATTTGTTACATTTTCTGCACAAAGTTCGGGCTTCTTTGAGGGAATTACATTGTGATACATCATTTCTGATCCCAAATAAATCGCAGAATAAACATTGGACGCACACATTATGTAAAATAATTGCACTTCTTATGGCTCTTCTTCACACTATTACCTTTTTGCCAGGCGGCCAGCATGAAAAGGAAGTGCGGGGTCTCGGATGGGAAAATAAGGAGTAATTAATCTCGCACGCATTACAAATAAAGATCCGATTTCTTTTATCTGGATACTAAATTTACCTATAAACTTAGTGAATATAATAGATACCTAGTTTTGTGTAAGTGAAGTATATGTTATATAGTAAAATCTATGAAAATAACTGAAATTTTCATTTTTGTCTCCACTTGGATTTTTGCGATTAAAAGTCGACCTACTTTGTAATTCACAATAAACATGGCGGCGAAAACGAAGGTCGCTCGGCTTGAAAGCGAACTAGAACGTGCTCGAGGGGAGGCTAATTGGTCTAAGGCTTTTGAATTGGCCACACAGCTATCTAATAGATCGCCCGGATTCGGTAAGGGATATGACATGATTTTATTGGTTTTGCTAAACAGATTGCAGTGTAAATAATCTCCATCCAAGCGACCGGCTTGTGAAAGCTGTGTACCTCCTTATTTATGAAAATAACATTGTATCTTGGAATGCCTTTTGAAATGCCACTTAGTTGTGGTCAATAAAAGGGTATTATTTCTGAATTAATGGACATTTATAACATATGGTTGCTTCTCTGTAGCTGGCCTACGGTGTAATTCTCACTGCCTTCAACATTTCCTAGATTTGAAATTATGGTTTCAAATATATTTACAAACTATATGTGCTTACTAATTAAAAGATCAAGGCTCACATATGTGTGAGGTGGTGGACACTGCTGAAAAGCCAACCAATTTTGCCAATGAGGTCAGGTTCATCTGATCATCTACCAGATATGCTGCCATTAAATCATGAACCTTTTGAATCTGCAATTAACAAACTTCTGAATACATAAAGGAGGCCAGGGACTGTTTCTTATCCAAAATAAACTCAAATTTATGTTGGAGGCCACATGGACCTCGAAGCAACATTCTATTCAATACATGATTTTTTGCACTGTTTGGTTCTGAGAGGGAAGGATAATTTGACCCACTTTGCGAATTCTGAAATCTTATTCACAATACTGTCAATAGCAAAATTGGTGGTCTTTCAGCAGTTTGGGCAGAACTGCTAACAGAACATAATTTAAAAGTGATCTTTACTGATATCTTTCATCTAGTATTAACAGAACAGTAGATATGGATAATAGTGCTAACACATTATTTCACATGGTACCATTTACTATGCCAGGTGCTTTCTGAAAAGTATTTATTTATTTATTTATTTATTTATTTATTTATTTGCCTTAAAGTCTTGCATGACTTTTGTGAATAGTTTTATGTCATTTTGTATGTTTTGTGTTTGTAGAAACTTTGACCAAATTCCTCATGGGCGAAAAACAACTTGAAGAATACTCTGCTGTATCTAAAACAGATGATCAATCAATAGCTAAAGCTAAAGAGGATCTCAGTGAAGTTGAAAATCACTTGAAGGAGGCCATCAAAGGGTTTCATTTAAGAGTAAGTTACTATTTCTTTTACAAATATCTGTTTATAAGAAATAGTATATGAAATATTAAAATATTCTTGTGAAACAAGTAATGCTCTTGCTTTCTTGGTATGTTAAAAATATAGTATATAAAGCACATGGTGAAAGCGTCCATAAACTCTTCTCTATTTGCCAGCCTGAACTCAAAAAAGAAGCTCAGCTCCTCCTGGCGAAGGCATATTTTGTGATGGCAGAGTACAAGAAGACCTTGGACTGCTTGGGAGATCTGGGTTTAGATACTCTCAGTGTACAAAATGTCTCAACAAGAATGCTCAAGATCATTGCAGAAGCATTTGCCATAAAGGGTAAAAATATTGACAGATTTATTGACAGAATTGTTCATTATCTTATCTTGCAGTGTAATTCCTTAATAACCGCTTTTAACCTGCTTGATAACACTTTGTAGTGAGTAATGCAACAAGACATTAACCTGCTGATATTGGTTATTAATACACCTGTTTCAGGTATGTGTTTAGAGAAATTGCCACCCCCCACAGCCACCACACCACTCAAACAACAAGAACACAATGAAAGAATTGTTGGCTACTATGAGAAGGCAGGGGATCTTGCCATTGTCCATTTACAAGAGATGGACAAGGGGCTGACCCAAGCTGTGCCTAGTAGCAGTGGATCTTATAGTGGGTCTTGGAGTTCTACTTCGCAGAATGGTATTGGAACAATACTAGAAACTGCTCTACAGAAGTCTCCCATACTGTATATTTCTCAAGGGTGAGTGAGAGTGTTATCTGACACTTAAGGCTATGTTAACTTGCACATTTAAGATAGACTGTAGGTTTATTGTCTTCTTGAATAAGAATTAGAATGAACTGCAGTTGTAAGTATTTTAAAGTATTGAATGAAAAATTATTTTAAACTAGTAAGATTGGTGATATCATAGAGCAGCAAACAAAGTTTTAGATGTATTTGCCATTTCACTTAGCTGTTTAAGGCTGCAGCTGTGATTATGATTTTATTTTGTCATTGAAAAAATTTGATTTACACTGAAACTGAATATTTTTAGGAAGCTCAATCGAGGTATAGGAGCCTTTAGAGAACTCCTAACAGCTGTGGAATCCAGATCAACACAAAGCATGAGAATGGTAAACATCTTGTTTCAAATGTGTAAAGACAAAATGAATATCTTTTGAAATCCTTAATGAATTAGACATTTAACCATTGGCTTTATTCTGAGTGGAATTACATTTTTATTTGTTTTTCATTTAATATTTATTTATTTATTTATTTATTTATTTATTTATTTATTTATTTATTTATTTATTTATTTATTTATTTATTTATGATGTATTTGGGAATATATAGATTAATACTAGAACAATATGTGCTGGAACCACACTTGTGTTATTTTTCATTAAGCAAGACAAAAAGACAGCTGATCAATTGAAATTTCTTTTCAGACCCTAGCAAGACAGCTTGCAGAAGTTCTTTTAAGGGGTGTTTGTGATAAAACCTACATGCCACCAGAGAATGTTACAGGCAGGAAAAAACTTGGAGAAAATACATTAGAGCCTAGAAGATATGTTGGATCAAGGTATTTAAGGGATTTCCATATGCATGTAAAAGTAATACATGAAGCGAGTGTGGGGATACCCTATGACACATATAAACAACTTTTGCAGTTTCTTATACAACTCAAATAAATTCAACATGCCAAGGGATAAACCAAATTAGTAATCCCTTGGGCAACCAAAAAATAGCTTTAAAACTGAACCTTAATCTTCAAATTTCTGGTTGGAAACTTGTCCTATTTATCCATCCTCCTAGTTCATGAATGTCTGCCAAATGATGTAATAATATATGATGCTTTACTACAGCACATGCAATAGCATAAATTTCAAACAAGACTGGATGAGAACAACTAAAGGTTATAGATAGGACAGAAAGAATGCAATAAATATCACTTCAAACATTGTTTTTCCTGAAGTATGAGACGACACCCTTTGACATGCTATTCGAAACTACATGAAAGCATTTTGGTCAAGCTTAATAGCAAAGCTTTGTCTTCATGTATAGCTTTTAACTTGAGTGTAGAGTTTGTTTTGGAATATAAAGAATATTAGGTAAAATATGTAAGATGGTTTCTGTCCTGAATGATTTATGAAGCTAGAATAAAATGGGTAAGGGCTTATGATGATTGTATTTTATTCTTCAGTCGATTTAGACCTCAGCAGAGAGATGAAGAGTGCTTGCTGTTACTGATTATTGCAGAATCTCTGGTGAGATGTTTGTTGGTCAATTTTCTTAGCCTGACTGTAGACATTCAAATTTTGTCTTTCTGTAACACACACACACACACACACACACACACACACACACACACACACACACACACACACACACACACACACACACACACACACACACACACACACACATTTTTTTTTACTATTATTTTCAAAAAAGATTAGTGCATGCACCCACTTATGCACACACTCCTTATCATTACAAGAGATTCTTTCAAGAAAAATACATAACCAACATGAATGATATACTTATCAAAAGCTATGAGAAATTGTAAGATATAACTACCAAAATATCTTCAGATGTGATGTGAGCTGTTTTCATCAGAGAATAACTAATCTGGTATTTTCACCTAGAATTCCAGGCCCTAATCACTGGCTGTGTCCTACACTCAAGAAGATCTTGACCCCTCCCCTCCCCCATTTAAACACTCTATTACTGTAAGACTAGGAATTACCTTGCAATTTCTCATTGGTCTTGATTAAAAGAATTCCGTTAGTCGTGTTTTATACTGACTGTTTGCAGAGCTACTGAAAGTGTTCTCTCAGCTAACCAGCTGTTAACTGTACATTCCAGGCCAGCAAGGCAGCTGTGTTAGAGAGATCTCCTGAGGTGCAGGAAACCAAGGAGCACTCCTTCCACAATGCCTGTGCTGTGTACGACCTGCTCACCATTGTGTTAGTGAAGAAAATGCAATATCTCCAGTTATCACAGGTGAATATTATGTTGACTATTTTTTTTTTCATAATCTCCAAAGAAGGCCTAGTGGCTGAAAGCTTGGATTATGTATATCTGTAAAGTAGATATTCAGAGATGCATCAGTAATAATACTTATTTTTTCCTTCAAGATCTATATGGTGAATTGACATGGATCTTCATATTTACTGTGAGAAATTGTTGTCAACGTGATGATTTTTTATTATCTTTTTAAGAATAATTTAGCTGAAGATAAAAGTCATAATGAAATATATGTTTTGGTATAAGGATAATATTAAATCTTATTAATTTGTTTATCTGTAATAGTTCACTTTTCATAAAGAGAATGGCTATGAGTGTAAGAGTGATGTTTTATCTATATAACCATTTCATTTGTTTCAGTCATTGGAGAGGGCGCTGAAGTTTTCCTTTGATGAATTCCATGTTTGGTACCAGTTTGCACTTTCCCTCATATGTGCAGAAAAGGTATTTGGCTTTTTAGAGGGTGGTTAGAGTGTATATATTTGATTTGTTTGAATGAATCCTTTTTTATTACTGATAGTGTCTGGAATGGTAAGTTTTTCAGTGTAATGGACAACATTAAGATTGAAATGGTAACTACTAGGACAATGGGGATATATGAAAGTAGTCTGTGGTATTTCAATTAAATTATTTTGTCATGTAAATGTATTAAAAAAAACTTTAAATATTAACGTAGCAGCCCTGTTTATTTCATGACATGTAGCATTTAAGTATTCTTTTTTACAAACTTTAGCTTTTGCTGTTTGAATCTTTTTCTTTTGTGATTTATGATGTGACTGTTATTATTATTATTATTATTATTATTATTATTATTATTATTATTATTATTATTATTATTATTATTATTATGTCAATAAAATGAAAGAAAAATAAGGTAGAAATTTGACAAATTTAAGTGAAATGCATAAGTTATCTAAATTTCTATATAAGTATATTTTACTACATGTCAAGTTCTAAGATAATATTGGAGTTGATAAAAGCTTTTAAAACTATTTGGACCAATATGTTTAAAAACTTTATAAAGGCTTTGTATTAGTTATCAAGGATCTCTTAAAATGCTGTTTTCACAAACTTGTTGTTATCTTGTTATCTCTCAGTTATTATTCAGTTTTGTCACATCTTGCTTGAAGCAAGTGACCTTACTTTCACAGCTCCTAATTTTTTTTTTTTTTAACATAAAGTTTCTTCAACGGAACGTCTCTCCTCTGCCCCCAGTGGAATGAAGTTACTGGCATGAAGGTCTTCATTGTAACTTACCTGGAAAATTATGTCTGAGAGTCCTTTTTTGGACAGACTCCAAGCAATTAAGTTGTTCCCAGGGTCCCCATGCAGGACATGCATATTCTAAAGCTGATTTAGTTATTGACAGATATATGACTAATATATCTTGAGTTGTCAGGTTGGTCCTTTTAAAGTGCCTAAGATAAAAGAAAAGTTTGGCACAAGACTTGGAATACATGCAACATGCATTGATTTTCCATGTTTCATCCTCTTCAGGTCAGATAAATTATGCCTAGTAATTTAAATGTGTGCACTCTTTCTGCATTATTGCCACCTTTTGATGAATTTGGTGTTTTATATTAAAGTTAAAATCCATGCATTTGATTTTCTTTGCAGTCAGCTTCACTTTCACCAGCTCAGTTGTACATTTGTCCTAGCACCTGTGTTAGCAGTGCTTTTTGACCAAACTGACACATTTTCATCTGCAAATTTTAATATATTCACAGCAAGTTTTAAGAGGCCCATAGCCAGGGGGGTGGAAAAGGTCTCCTCTGGGTAAAATTTTATCTAGGTACATGAAGGTGTCATGGTTAATGGTCCACTTTTTCATACAAAGACCCCCCCCCCTTTTGAAATTGCTGGCCACAGGCCTATTTAAGATAATTCATCATGGCTGTAAAAAAGGATAAGGCATAATTATGTCTCTTGAGGTACATCCACAACTAGCTGAACCCAGTCTGATTTAAAATTCCCACACCTTACTTGATCTTACCTTTGGCATAAAAATGAGTCCACATCCTATGAAAGATGCATTTATAGTGGCATATTTATTTACAGACTCTTTCCAGTCATATAACATTTAAGTCTCCTTTCCTGCAAATTATTGTCGAATTTCTGTTTTTATTTGAAATTTTTATTTATTTATTTATTTATTTATTATTATTATTATTTATTATTTATTTTATTTTATTTTATTTTATTTTATTTTATTTTATTTTATTTTATTTATTTATTTATTTATTTATTATTATTTTTTTTTTTTTGCAGTAAAAAAGTCTTATTAAAATGGTAGAATTGTAGTTTTATGTTTTTATTTCAGTATCCCAGAGCTCTGTTGGTATTGGAGGAATGTGCCAAAATCGACCCAAAGAATCCCCTGGTCCCCCTGATGTCTGCCAGGTTGTGTCTGGACTACATGCACACGGTAAATGTACATAAAGGGATGTTTTTTGTCTTATCGTTTTATTGTTTATATTTTTGAAAGAAAAACGGCACAAGCCAAATCTTTATGTTTTTATGGATGAGTCATGTTTTATCTTTGCTGGTTTTGTTTTGTTTTGTTTTTAATTTTGAGTGAAAAACGTATAATAGTATAAACCAAATGTATTTTTTATGTATGTATGTAAGGGGCTAATAATTGTACAGAATATTTAATGAAACAGATTTTGATTACACTTGACTGTTTCCTAATGTCAGCTTTGTCTAAATTTTTCATTTGATTTGTTTTTAATGTTGGTGTGACTTCTGTTTTTAAAGTCACAGATGTCTTCATTCATTTAATTTTATATGTTGGCCTTGTATTTTTTTAATGAGATTTTGAGGTGCTTCAAGTACATTCGTGTTTACTTTTCACTCATATTTTTTAGTTTGCTGTCTAACCATGTCATACTACTTACACACCCGCACACCTATTGACCTATTTTATTATTATTATTTTTTTTTTTACAGGTCGATGAAGGCATAGAGCATGCTAAACAGGCTGCCAACATGGGGGTACAGAGTTATGCTGCTAGGGGGCATGTAGCCCTGGGGATTGGATATGCACTAAAAGGAAATGAAGTCAAGCTTCAAACAACAAGACAAGAACTGCAAAGAAAAGCTCTGGCTGCATTTAACAAGTAAGCACACTGTTTCCAATATTCAAACACTGAGTGTTTGCTTATGTTATCTAACTCCCAATCTGTGTCTGTTTGTGTGTTATGTAACTGCTGTCTTTTTCCCTGTTATTTTAATTTATTTATTGATTTTCACCAGGAGGATTGTGACATTTGTATTTGTACAGTCAAATGTTACCGCTGGCACCTATATAAATATGTCTTTTGAGTGAGTGAACTGGAAGTCTTTGATGACCTTTATCTGCTACTTGTAAACCAGCCTAATTGAACACAAGATGACCTTTTTTCCCCTCTTTTAACACATTTTTATGGTTTCACAATGGTTCTTTAAAAGATTTCTTTTTTATCTTGCATTGGATAGGTTTGCATGATTGATTTTTCTTGAGGGAACATTTCGTTAGGATTTTTTTCTCTTTGGTGATTTGACACCATATTAATTAGAATCCTTGATGTTAATCAGTATTCTTTATGACATTCAACATGTATGCTCAAAACACAAAATTGTCTCAGTTCTTACCTTATAGTGCTGTGCTAGATCCTGACTTAATATTGGTGTTTGATTACTATTGTTCAAAAGTGAAGAGAAATCATTTGATATGAGTCATAGAGAAAAAAGTGATAAATGTTGCTCTGTCTTTTCATATCACAAAGTAAGCCCATGAAGAAGATGCATCACTTCCCTCCTTTTAATAAGGCTTTAAAATAAAGAAAAACGAGAGAACAAAAATAATAAGTTCTATTGCTTTGACATCACCAGTTTTATGGACAATATTCTGTTGTTTGTTTGCTTGGGAAAAGTCAGCCTTCAATGTCAAATGGCATCAGGAAGGATCAATGGCAAAACAAAAAATATGAAAACAAATCTGTTTACAACCAAAAATAATCTTGGTGTTTTGAAAATGATGAGTCTAAGACCCCCCCCCTCCCCCTCCCTGTAACCTTCAGTCATTTGACAGAGGCATAGATAAATCTATTTTTGAAATGATTGAAGACCCTCCTTGGAAAGAAGAAAATTCCAAAATACATCATTTAGGTCTTTTGAAATTGAATTTACTTCAAGGAGCATTCCCTTAGTTGTGTTTACAAGTTCTGCTTTGATTACTAAATATTGGATCTGTCTGGTAACCACTTTTTTCCTCTCTCTTTTAATAAGATAAAACCTATATTGGGTGCAACTCCTGAATCGGCACTAGTAGCTGTTGGACTACTTATAGAAAATGCACATGCAGTGCTTATTGTTTCATCAGCTGAAGTTAATATGGAAGAAAAAAAATTGTATTTTTCTAGATACACTTGCTAAGATCCAGAATCGGATGGAAGACTTGTGTATGTGGATGGACATGTTGCTGATGATACTATGATGATATTGATTACAGTTTTTGCACACTTTTGGGCCTACATTGTAAATCCTGGTTACCCTTGTTTAGGATACACAGATTTTCATCTTGAATACTTATTGTATTCCAGTTAAACACTACAATTGCTCTTTGAGTAGTTTTTCAGACTATGCTCAGTGAATTTGTCTATTATAGACATGTTAACTAATTTGTGCCAACATAGAGGAAAAAGCATTTCCGTTTTACCTGTTTTGTGAACAAGTTTTGACATTGAGCCCTTTTAATCTGAAGCATTTATGCCAGTTAGCCTATTAAAGAATGTTATCTCAATATTCAACAAATGAAACCGTCTCTTCTCTCAGAGACTTTCCAGCAGATTTTCACCATTTAATAGCCATAATGTCTTATTAGTGGTATTTCCTTGACAGACTTTGATTTTAAGTGAGTAGTTGGCTTTTCTTAATGTGAGACGGGCAGACGGGCTCCTATGAAATTGATTGATGCCATTGCCCCAAGTGTAGTTTTGAAATGGCATAGAATGTGAGCGAATAGAAAGTGAAACAAACCTGTTCATATAACATGTTGTCTTAGAGAAGGGGTGGAACAAAAGAAAATGCATCAGAGCATTCAGATTTAGCGTAGACTGGATTTAGGACTTTCTGTTGTTGGTAATGGGGTTGGAAAGTTAACAAGCACTCAGCATTATGCCTGCTTTTGCCTGTAAGCAATTATGTGAATACTATAGATAACTCCTATCATTACGACAGTGTTGCTGCAGTTAAGTTAACATTAATTTTATCAGTGAAAAGGTTGATTTGCCTGAAATTAATGACTTGGCTTTTATCCTTTGGTAATAAAATTGGCAACATTGTTGGTTAGGTCCATGAAAAAAATCAATTTCCAACTTTGGGAAGTTTTATGAATATCTTTTAGATTGCTCCATTTAACCTTGATCATTAGTGTTTGTTAGACTTTGAAAAATAGCTGGAAAACTGATTGAAGTTTCCAAGTTGCTTTGTTAGTGGCTGAAATAAAAGGAAATTGTGACTGACTTTGAAAAAAAATTTTTTTAATTCTTAACACCACCTGTTTCTTTTCCTTTGGCCATGTAAATGAAACTGTATCCTTTTTTCTACTAATGAGACCAGTTCACTATATTAAACATGGTTTGCCTACAGTATATTAAGATATTAATGGATATTTATCTATTTTATAATCGAGAACTGGAAATAAGGAGAGAATGAATTCAGTCACCCTTATTGTCATCAAACCCTGCATGCAAAACTTTTAAAACTTTCAAAACTTTTCTCCATCTCTTTTTTCGTGAAATTTTCAGATTGGTGTGAAAAATGTCTTCCAGTAAGATAGCTATTGCAATGGTGCTCAAGTGACTATTGATTTGTTTTGAATAAAGATGTGTTGACTTGAAAGACAGCAGAGCAGAAGTTCAACACACACACACACAAACAACCGGGCACTTCCACTTCCACAGGCATGTGCATGTGTGCACACGCATGCAAACACACACACACACACACACACACTTCAATTAATTTAAATATATTTAAGCAATACATAAAATTGTAATTTTTACATGGCATGTTCAATTTCCATGCATGGGATTATGTGTCTCTTTCTGTTTAATGTTTTTTTCTTCTTGTTATAATACCATTAAGTTGTTTGACCATTGCAGTTTCAGTGCCCCAAAACTGTTTATGCATGTCTAATAGTTATAACTGAAATTGAAAATTCGATTCAACGAAGTGATTGTGTTAAATCTTTTCAGTTGGTCACATTACACAAAATAATTGCTAGATGGAGATTAATTTGAACATTAAATGTGGTGATCATTGCACTTTGAACTTTCTTGGCAGTGACTAAATTGGAACATAATAGGCATTTTTTAAAATGTCATTATCAATTTATGTATGTTTCTCATGATAAAGACTGAACAATCAAAATGATTTTATGATTTTGACAACATGGGAAAAAATCTGTCTGTACATTATGACAAAGTATATTTAGGTAGTTACTTATTTTTTGTTTTTTTTTAAACATGTTTTCACATTTTTATTTGGAAATATGTTACTGGAAACTAGTTATTAGAAATAAGCTTTTGTAATTGGTGTAGTATAAAGATGTAAAATGGTGACAAAAACAAAGTTTAATGTTCTGTGTTCCCTATTTTCTAGTTAGTTGATTTTTTGCAAGAATCTGAACCTCGGGGTGTTAATTTCCAAAGCTTGTAAATATGTCCCACCAAAACAAGCTTTGGATAAGCATTATATTAAGTTTTAGGAATCTTAATGGTTTATAAGGTATGATATATTGTCAATATCCATAGTCATATTTTATTAAGTTGCACCATATGTATGATAGTCAAGTCTTTTTTATAGCTTTTGTATCATTACGAGACATCAGCTCAGTTACTGTTACATCTAAGAAGGTCAGACAAAATTGATAGGGGTTGGTTATTATTGTTAGGTTGTTAAAACATATGATGTTTAATGGGCAAAGTAGCTAAATTGTAGGGTTTTGAAGTACGAAGGGAGTGTCCAACTCAGTGCGATTGATTTTTAAGCATAAAAAACAACATTAATGGAAATATCCATTGTAAAAAATATGAACAAAAAAATCTAATTTCCATTTTGATGCTAACTTACAGTAAGTCACACTTATAAACCAAATGATCAGCTTTGTTAACTTAAACTTAATATATGCTTAATATATGTGATGTGGCATATACCATTTTAGTGTTAATAGTCAAAAAGGTTTCATTTATAATGATAGATCCTGATCTATCATAAGGCCACACTTTTTTATTTTTATGGATGACATCCTCTGGGGACCCCAAAATCGGTGCGAGCGGGAGAAAAAAAGAAAAAAAAAACGGTCCAAAAAAAAAAAAACTGCTTAAGAAAAGTTATGTTTTCAGTACACAGCTGGAAACACTAATTTACCACAGAAACACATATCAAACTAACAACATGTCTTTATCCATGCTCTCAAAATATTAAAGCATTGTGAATAGGGCCTTCTTCGTAGAAAGGTAAAAAGTCATGAATATATATGCTGCATATTACCAAATCTATTTAAGGTTATTTCATGCATTCTGTTGGTATAGCAATCAATAAAACAAATATCAAATAAACAACGTGTCTTTATTTGTACTCTCAGAAAATTAAAGCATTGTGAACACTTCACAGAATTGTTTAAAAAATGAAGCAAAGATAGGCCTATGCTTCCTACTACCAAATCTAAAAAAGGTAATTTCGCACGATGCCATTGTCTACTTCGACTCACACATAGCAGCCAACTATCGGGTGGCCTGTCCAACCTTCAATCCACCAAATACCACGACGCTCTTGTCGACCCTTTTTTCGCTACAAAAAAACCTGGTATGTGCTGCTTTGGACAGAATGTCACTGAAATTTTCCGAGCGATGATCGCTGGCCGCGGCCAGCCTTTCGTATAATTGTAAAAAGGTGATATCTCCATGTCCAATATCAATTAATGCTAGAGATGAATTTGACGGCAAAGTGGCCATATTTCCACGTGGTGATAATACGCATGCGCAGAAAGCTCATTTTCCACATTCGGAACTACTCGTATGTCTCCGCAGTCTACAATGACAGTATGGAGCTTGCGGAATTAGCCGAGGATTGCCGATTGCATTTTCCGACTTCCTTGGGGGGGGGGGGGGGGCAGGATTTTTTTTTTTTTTTGGAGAACGGATGAAAATCAGTGCGCGCGCAGCGCAGGATGTCATCCATAAAAATAAAAAAGTGTGGCCTAAATGAAACCTTTTTGACTATCAAAACTAAGATCCAATGAAACTATTTTCACATTTTAGTGTTGTCTGTTCAAGGTACCCTCCCATTTTTTATTATCTGCCCTGTCAGTTTTGATATTTTATTATTCTATAATTTCACTGTGAAGTTAATTCAGTTTAGGCTGAAGCATGCGGTATTTGCCCCAGACCGTGGCTCATATAATTGAGGAATTCCCAGACCCCATATGGAGCCGCTAGTTCCAAGTGTTTAACTCTTCTGTCTTAACTGTCAAAAGTATATTACCACAAACTGATAGGCCCACATTCTAATACTCCTCACAGGAAAATGCTTGCATTTGAGGAAATTCATAGATAGAGAGATGCACCTGGGATTCTGTTTTATAATATGAGTCTATATTAAGAGAGACAATAATTTTCCCAGTAAGCTCAGTTATCAAGAACACTTAGCAAATGTATTCCACAGGTATTTCACCCTGTTATTACACAGATTTGAGACAAAAACACACACACACACACACACACACACACACACACACACACACAGATGCAAGTGTATTATTATTATTATTATTATTATTATTATTATTATTATTATCATTATTATTATTGCCCACTTACAGAGACAATTCAGAGATTTAATGTGAGGAAGAATTATTGTCAGAATTTATTTCATGGGGTCTTTGACTATTTTATTTACAGATGCTGTAGTGTAATATGTACACATTGTCATTGCCTGTGTCTATCTGCATTGCCTAAGTGAAGACCCGAGTGGTGAGGGGCACAGTCTATTTATGCCATTGCATGTCTCCCTCATTTTAGGGACCATTCAGATTGAGAAGAGCTGAGTGCTAGCTAGGCCACGACCTAAATATGGCGGACATACATGAAAGGAAGACCGCTTAATCCTGTAATGGTCTCCCTGCCTCTTAAATGCCTCTCCACGCATCGTCCCTGCAGGGACACAGTAATTGAATCTTGGCTCAATTCAACCGGTCGAGGGATGACATGTGGGGAGCCGTGTGAGAGGCGGAGAAACCTTTACAGGTTTAAGCAGTATACCTTTCATGTAGGTCCGCCATATTTAGGTCGTGACCTGGTTAGCACTCAGCTCTTCTCATTCTGAATGGCCTTTTAGAGATCAGGGCCCAGTTTCATCAACACTGGAAAGCGCTATCCTATGGATTACACTCACCTTTCGATAAAATTGTTATCCTGAGGATAGCAGCCTTCTTTAACCAACGGAAAGCAATATCAGAGACAAAAATAAGTATCTAGTATTTAGTAAACATTTCTTTACCTACAGGATAACTGTCCAGAGGATAACAATGTTATCCAAAGGATAGTGTTATCCAGAGGATAGCGCTATCTAGCCATAATGAAACTGGGCCCAGCAGTTTAAGAGCGCATTCAGAACAGATGATCAGCCAATTACCAATCCGGGAACTAAGTATGGCTGGCTCCACATCAAAGGAAGCTGCTTTATCCTCTGATGGTCTCACCTCCTCTACATGTGCCATTAAATGGATTATATCTCGGCTGCGAGGTTTAATTGCTAGGCCCCTGCAGGGACGGCGTGTGTGGAGGTGGAGAGACCATCAGGGGATTATAAGCGGTTATCCTTTTAATTGGGTCAGTCATATTTGATCCGCGGATCTGTAAGTTCGAGGATGAACTTGTTCCGGATGCACTCTAATTCATCTCAATATATTTTACTTGGAATGCATGATACAGATAAATATATCATGAAAAAATGTACTGTATGAAACATAGTACCACCATGTACTGTTTTATGCAATACTTACGGGATTTATTAATTTTAGCCGTGCCTATAGATTCCCAAGTCCTACTTAATCAGATGTAATAACTATAAAAAATAATTACTATGTAGGATAAAGCTATTTGCAAATGAGAAATGAAGGAAGAAATTTTGTCTTACTGAGAATTTGAAAGGCCTCAGTTCCTAAAACTGCCCTATGAATATCAAAGTGACGAAGATCAGTGGAATATATTGGCTCAAAGACTTGAAATAATTGCCAAAGCTTTGAGTTGATGTTGTTATTAATGATTAACACTGATAGCTCTATTCGCTTATCTTTTTTATTCAACATCTCTAAAAGCTGAAAATTGGAGATGACAGTATTGGGAATCTTTTTCTTTTATCTTTGGGACAATTGCTCAGTAATCTAAGAATGATTCATGAAGTTTTGGGAATTTAAGCAGTAAGATTTTTTTTCAATGCCCATTACTGAGATGATGCCAATTGGTTCAGTTCAGCATGCCTAAAACTTTTAACATTTCTGAAGGCCTGGACATTATATGGCAATGGAAAGTCAGCAAATTAGGACCTGACATATGTTTAATAGAGTTGAAATTCAATATTTTGTTGTATATATTTTTGTATGAGGAAAGTGTTAATCCTTTGATTTTTTTAAATGTCTATTTTTTCTCAGCATTTTCTTTGCTTTCAGGTTAAAAGTAATAGTTGATGATATGAAAAGCTTAACTATGGTATCTACTTAAAAGATAAATGCCAACTGTCTGATTTACCATTAAATAATTGTATTTTTTTTTGTTTTGTGTCTGATGCTTGAGTTTTTTTAAATTGATCCCTACCCTTACAGTTACATGCCTTGGGACACCTCATTTATACAAGGCAAAGTGGAAATAGATTAGTTATTGATGTTTTAACATCTTAAACAGACTTATTGATTATTCAGATGTTATAATTTTAAAGCATATTGTAAGTTATTGAAATGCTTGATATTAAGCCCAAGTGCAGTAGATGAATATTCAAATCACCTATGCAGATAAACATTAAAAATAAAATTGCTTCATTTCTTTTTCTTTCTACATTATTGGTTGAAAGCTCACATGGACTTTCAGTGATGTAATCCAGAGAAGAAAAAGATATAAACCAGTTTTAATTCTAAGCTCAATTATTTTTTTAAAAGAATCCCTCTACATGCTGGCCACCAAATCTTCATAACAGGTTGTGCATGTTTAAGTATTTCAACTGTGTCCCAGGAAGTTTTTTTTTTATCTGAACACTCCATAGTTTCATCTTATGTCCAAAGGGAAGGATTTGAATAACACAATCTGGTCTTCTTCACACTTTTGTCTCTAGAACTATTTTAATTTTAGTTATCATCTCTGTTTTTTCAACATGAGCTAATTTCAGAATATTCTTCAAAATTTATACCAGCACCAAGAAAACATGATGACATTAGTAAGCATGCTTGAGGAGTCCAACATTTCATTTATTTATTTAAAATTTATTTATTTATCAAACTTTATTAATTGAGGGTAGATCCATGGTAAATATAAAATTTATCTTCCCCATGGCCTTCATGAGATTAGTAAAAAAAATAATACATAAATATGAACAGAACATACAGGTTGATTAAGTTTGTCAATGTGGAATATGAAAATCTGAGTGTCATGTATACCCCTAAGAGATGATTTCTGTAGATATATTCAATTAAACATAATTATGTTTGATGACTTGTAGTTTTTTTCATGGTTTGTGCTATACAGATTGATGAATGACCTAAGGCAGCTTGCGGCACATTTTTGACTTTACAAAATTAATGCTTCTTGCAGTGCTTGGTGGTCTGAAAATGTTTATGATGACAGTTCTTCCAAACTTTTAAAGGCTAAGATTCTTTATGCTAGAACATATTTTAGGTTCATTAAAGTATTCATCTATACTGAGCAAAAATTATGAAAAATTATGAATTATAATGTTGTCTTCAGATATTTGCACAATGAAGTAACTTGTCATACATTTTTAATGCTTTATTTTCTACAAAATATACTTTCTTGCCACAGTGTTCATTCATCTTTTTAAATTTCTCTAGTGTCCATTTTTTTCTTTAAAAAGTGCAATTTACAGCAAAATAGCATGACTTGAGGTTTTATATGTTTGAAGCTATATGAAATCATGAATTCCTCAGTTAATTTCCCAATTTGTGCCATTTACTTGTTCCAAGTAAGTAACAGCTTCAGGTTTTATCATTCTGCTGGTTGCCATTAATTGATAGGTACATTGCCTCAAACCATCTCTTTTAAAGCTTTTCAAACTTGCTGCAGACATTATTTAATCCCCCTAGGAATTTTGCTCTTTTACCTTTACTTTACACAAGCATTCGGTATCATCAAAAAAAGAAACACAAATCAATTTTCATCCATCTTAAAAAGGGAATGCATTAGGTAATCGTTTCATGCTATGTTATCTATGCCCGTAGTACTGCATACTAAAATATTGTTGATGACACCAAATGGTATAACAGTACCTTCAGACACAATATTTTGTTATAATTATATCATATTTCTAAACCAAATTTCAATTTTTCAATCTTCAAGCAAGGGTCTGATCACAAGCTGAATTAAATAATACTGCAGATATAATAAACACCATCATAGGACACAGCGAGACCATCAGACTTTTTATTCCGCCATCGTTTACATCCAATGGTAATCAATTGGGATGTCTGCTGAGACAAAGTGATTCAGTACAGTTAATATCTGGTCCAGATTTTTGTCCTCTGTATGAAGAGTCCTCTTTATGATGAGAATCAAACAGAGGTCCCAGAAGGCTCGACGTCTTTCAGAGATTTCAAGGCTATGGTATTTCCATTGGTTACATTTATAATAGGTGGTAAACTGGCGTTTGTTGGGGCAAAGGTACCCCAAGAATCCAACGAACTCTCCTCTCCATTGTAGCAACAGAAACAGAGAGATTTTGGACAGAGAAGTTTGGTGAAAGCACGACGGAATTTGGAGTGTGTTACTGCGTAAACGAATGGGTTTGCTGTCGAATTTAAATAGCCTAGCCATAGTGCAGTCAGGTCCAGGTTGGTATCCATGTGAGATATAAATGGTTTGATGGCAAAGGTTACCATATACAGAATCCAACACACAAGATAAGTAGCAATCACTGCTGATAGCATGATAGTCGCTTTCAGTTCTTTGGTATTGAGGGTCGGAACCTCTCCACATATGTTGGTATAGTGAGGTTTAATGAGCTTAGCTTGGCGGCGTGCAATGACGAGAACTTGCACGTAGGTGAACAGGAGCACAATTAGTGGAATGACAAAGTCGGTTAATAAAAGCACAATACTGTAAGAGAGATTCTCAACTGCCAAGTAACATGACTGGCTTTCATATTGGTTCATGTTTTGTATCAAGCCATCTTTGGTGTTCCATCCCAAATATATTGGGATAAAAGCTGTTACTGCTGCAAAAAACCATATTGTCACCAGACCAATTAATACTTTTCTTTTGTTGATGTGTTGGCGGTACTCCATTGGCCATGTGACTGCAATGTAGCGATCAATACTCACAGCGGTGATATTCCAAATGGATGCTTTGCACAGCATAACATCAAAAGAAATGTAGATGTTACACCAAATGGCACCCAAAGGGAAGTTAAAAGTAGCTGTATAGATGGCACTGAAAGGCAGAACTACAGTTGCTAAGAGAAAATCTGTCAATGCCAAAGATATAATAGGATAGTTGATCAAAATCCGAAGTTTTCTCTCTGTGATAAACGAAACTAAAACTAATGCGTTTCCCACGATGGTGATTACAATGATTACCCCTAGGAGTGTCCCGAACGCGACGGTTTCCTGTATTGACCTAAGAGTGGTAATTCCATCCACCGTTCCTTCTTTCTGGTCAACATGTGTTAAACTGGCATTGCTGGCGTTGTTCATGATAAAGTATCGAGTCCAGCGACCAAGACGTCACCTCAGTTCTTTTGGTCCATATTTTTCTGAAAAGAAAGAAAAAATGTGATACGGTTTAAAAGTACATGATGGTGATCTGTGTTGCATGCATCATACACCGAAGTCATACACCTATCTATCTGCTGAAAACCATTGTTGTGATGTTATTGTATGTGAAATGGTGGCCATCAATTCTGCCTTTCCTGTCTCATCCTACAATAGTGCTGTCACGCTAGGTGATTTGTCTCCCAGAGTTCAGGATTTCATCTGCTACTTTCATGTTTGGATGCTTTAAGGATTTTTTTCTCTCTGGAAGCTTTTTCATTATCTGCTTTCCTTCAAGGAACACTTACCATTGATTTTCCGAAATATGTAAACAGTATTTACTGAGTGTTTTCTTGCTGTATACAGTCATTGTGGTAATGGGTGACACTTTTTAAAAGTTCAGTCAAGGAAGTGTGATTTACTCTTTAACACATTTCTCAGACAGTTGTCTCAGTTTCTTGGATCTAACAGAGGAAATTGCAGGTGCTTACCAAGAGGCTTTCAACTCCTCCCTTGGCAGGTAAACAACTTCTCCTCAAATAATTTGATTTCTTGTTGAGAAATAAAGGAAGGAAAGAAAAGAAAAAACCACAGACTTCTGGTTACTCTGTCACTTCCAAGAAACATACAGATGAGGTTTCACTGAAACTTTTAAGTAGCCTGCAGCTTAGAGGGCATTCAGATTTAAACATCATACTAGCTGGGTCGGTCCAACTCTGGAGGAGATTCTAGCTAATAAAATGCAATCAGTTGAATCAGCTTAATTGTCTGACATGCCTCCTGAATTCATTATCGTGTGTTGATTAACTGATTCCAATTAATGCATTTTAGTGCGAATCTCCCATAAAGTTGGACAGACCTAGCTAGTATGTTGTGTCAATCTGAATGGGCCCTTAGATGTGTGTAGTTTTTAATGACTACAATCAAAGTCTTGGTACTACTTGCTGGTAAATTATTTGATATAAGTGATTGGTGATGGCCAGATTCTAGTATTTGACTAATGGTTGGTCGTAGGTTATTAGGGTGGAATGTTGTTTACCAGGAATTTGGGATAAAGAGGTCTTTGTGATATTTTTACCAGGAAACAGTTTGGAGGATGTTTGATTCTTGGTATGTGCTACATCTTTAGTACATTTTATGTTCTTTTAATACTGCTGTTTTATGTCACATATACCATTGTAAACTTTATTATTTTATGACATTTTTATTTTTCACAAATAAAATTTTCATTGCATATGTAGGGAAAATAACTTTTAAACTTAGCTCTAGTATTACACAATATAGTAAACCAGTTTGTTTGCTATGTTCATTTGCTTGATATGTTTAACAGGAATTACTGTTTTCTGAAACAGGATATATTGCATGACATTTTCTTTTTTAATGATGTTTGTATCTTGCTTGAGATACTGACTAGCAGTGAAAATAAAATTGAAATAAAACAAGGAAGAAATTTGATATATTTGTNTCATTTGCTTGATATGTTTAACAGGAATTACTGTTTTCTGAAACAGGATATATTGCATGACATTTTCTTTTTTAATGATGTTTGTATCTTGCTTGAGATACTGACTAGCAGTGAAAATAAAATTGAAATAAAACAAGGAAGAAATTTGATATATTTGTTTTTTTTTTTTTTTTTTTTTTTTTTTTTGGTGTGTGTTTTGCTACCAGACCTGCTGTAAACTAACTGTGCATTAGACATCAACTGTTGTGAGAGAATGTGATATCATCTCATTAATGAGACGAGGTGCGTACCTTGATAACAAATGATACACATCTGTTCTTTCGATGAATAAAGACTGTTTCTAGTACAGGTGCGTCAGGCTTACTATCTGAATGTAATTGATTGTAAGACAGTTTGAATTCTCAAGAGATTGCTTTACTCAGAACAAGCGTATAATCTGCTTAACAAAATTAAAAAACGTTTCTTGAGAGAGCTTCAAGAACACCAATCAGGTCCATTACCAGGGCCATTTAGTATTTTCTACGTCTTGGATCTATTGGGGACTACTGAAAAACACTCGAACCACAATTTTCTGTGAAAATGATGTCCAATAATTGATGCAGCTACTCTGCTAATGGTTTTGTCCCCAGATGCTTCCATCCGGAATCCTTCTCCTTCCTCTGTTAACTAAATGCTTGAACTACACTTGTACATACAATGTAACGCCACACAAAGTCTCTTTTCTGCATCACGATGAGTTAATCTCCATCCTAACAGGCTTATCGGCTATTTGAACCCATAGTGAGCATTCATGTAAGGTAAAAAAGGTTATTATTAAGTCTAAATATGGCAACTTTTGTATTTGATAATTACACATGCACACACATGAACACGTACACATGCATGCACACAGACATTCTGAAATTTTTGGTCCGATCGGTCATGACCGACAAAATTTGTCTGGACAGGTAAAAAATTGGACTTGGTCAGTCCAAAGGACCGACGAGAGTTGTAAGAGCCACCATTTTCAATTTACAGTCATCATTCAACATACTTCACTAAAAAAAGATTATATAAAGCCCAAGGCGTTTTTTCCCTTCCATTTTAAACCGACCACATTCACAAACAAAGTAAGCTACCTAACTGTAGTATCCGTCTCAAACAAATAGGGAGATTTTCGGTCTGGCAAAAATCCATATTGTCCGGCAAATTTTTCATTACTGCTGGTCCAAATGTCCAGCCATTCTGAAAAGTTTTCAGCATGTCTGCACACAGGCCCACATGTAAAATACATATTTCTAGAATGGGCCATGTTTTATTCAGTGAAAAATAATATGATAGAAAAAGGTGGTTTAAAGTAAAAATATCAAAATTATAGGGCCAATTCACGTGACATATTGTGAGGAAATGACAAATAAAAATTCAATCAGGGGGATCAGATTCAAAGAAGTTATCTCTCTTACAGCTTAATATATAAGTACTCTCGTGTACTTTAAATAAAAAAGACTTAAAATGCAGTACAGGCAAATTTTGTACAAAAGATTTTACAACAGAAATTCTTTTTACTCTGCACAGTGGAGTTTAGTTGTGGAAGGTGGCCCACAGTGGGGATAATATCTGATGAATACTAGAAAAATAGCTGGTTCTTAACTGGATAATAACTCCAGTTTAAGTCTAAACATAACAGGCCCATAGCTGGGGGGAGGGGGGGTTCAAGAAACCCCCCTCCCCCAGTTTTTGTAGGGATAAGGTCCTCTCTTGGTAAAATTTGATCTAGGAAAAGGTCCACTTTTTTAGAAAAAGAACCCCCCTTTTGAAATTGCTGCCAATGGGCCTGCATAATCGGACATGATTACAATGGGCTGAGATCTACTCTTGTACCAATTAGATAATGATGTCACTGGTGTAAAGCACGCTCTGCTGTAAAAGACATTACAATGGGACACATTCTGCACTTGTCAATTTCTGGTTGCTAACCCTGCCTCTTTTGTAAATCCACAGAATGATCAAAATGCAAAGGTAAAGACTGCAAACCACTAGAAATGATCATTTTATGCCTTTTAAGACCCCATAAAGTGACGTTCCTCTTAAAAAGTGAAATGCCATTCAGGTTCATTGGTAAGTTGGAAATAATGTTTACACTTACAGTTGGCGATTATCACAAAAGATTCAGTTTTGTCGTTTGGTACAGCATTTGCTAAAATGTTCAATGTTCCTTAACTTCAGCTGTAGTTAAGTGCATTTTGTGACTTGTTTCACTAAAGAGCTGTGACAAAAAAACATTCTCTGTTGAGAATCTCGGTTGATGAAGTGGCATTTCACAAAGACTCCAACAAGCTGCTTGCCACATTCTTCCTGCCTTTACACTGAGCCCTGAGACCATATTCTGATTGTGTTTTGTCTATTCTTCTTTTATGTCAAAAGACCTCAGAAATAAACAAGACTAACACATAACTAAGATACTTTTCTCACTCACTCACTCATGCCACAGTTAAACTCTAACAGGTACCTACTCTGTAAACTCTGTTAATTTTACAAAAACATATCCGAATTTTTTCATTTTCTTTTGAAAGCACCTTTTTTCATGTTGTTATTGTAATTTTAGAAAAAACATTTCCAAATTTTTTCAATTTCTTTTGAAAGCACCTTTTTTCGTGTTGTTATTGTAAATATGATAATAATCATCTTCCATTAGCAATTTATATATTTACTTAATTGTGTTAACTCCACAATCCTTTTAGCGATAGACCTTTTTGGTACGCCAGGTGTCACCTTTTAGTGACAACTTCTGCTTTTGGGGTGTGACTTATAGGAGTAGAAGGCCAGCTAGTCAAAATTTGTTCAGATCTGGGTGGTGAAGGAAATGGGGTAGATCTATTTTTAAAAAAGTTGAAAGAACTAAAAATGATTTTGAGAGAATGGAAACAACGTGAGTGAATGAACAATTGGTTTCTAGATTTAATGTGTTACTGGATCAGGAGTTGCAAATATCACACAAGGGTTGTAATGAGACAAGGGCATAGATGCACTGCAAACAATTTTTTCCAATCATGATATGATTCTCTCTAAAATTCAGTATATTTTACAGGGAATATAATGGCAAATCCCCTTCAATTGTAAGTTCAAGTCACCTGTATGTACAAATCCTCTGTAGAAATTGTATACGCACCAATGTTCTGATTTGCTGTTACAGGTAAACAATGCTAGTTACCTTCAGAAGTCCTATCTTTATTGTCCATCAAGCTAGAACTTCCTTTACTTTTTAATTGGAGGGGAAAGTGCCCTTCAACTCTTGGGAGCCTTTGTCTTTCGTGCCTTGAACACACTCTCGCTAGCAATATTTATCTCAGGTGTAAATCTACTGGTGCACTATTTTCAAAGAGCATCTTCAGCAGACCTGGGGGCACTAGATAAAATCTGGACAGTGGGCTTAATAAGGTGCCAGAGAAGCAAAGGAAGACTTTTCCTGCAAAACTTCAAAGAATTTCGACCCGAACTTGACCAAGCTTAACCCTCCAAACTAACAGAGTGACATGGACAATTTTCACAAACAAATTA